GGAGGCGGCCAAGCCCAGGGTGGCCAGTCCAGAAACAACCAGACCCGGAGTGGCCGGGCCTGGAGAAGCCAGGCCCAGAGCAGCCAGGGTGGGAACAGCCAGACCCAGAACAGCAGTAGCCAAGCCCAGAGCATCCAGGCTGGGAGTGCCCAGGCTCGGAGCAGCCGGGCCCGGGGCAGCTGGGCCCAGAGCAGCCGGGTTGGGTGCGGCCAGGCCCGGAGCAGCGGCTGCCAGGCTGGGAGCGGCCAGGCCCGGGGGGAGCGGCCGGGTTGGGTGTGGCTGGGCCCGGAGCAGCAGCAGCCAAGTCCAGAGCAACTAGGTCGGGAGCGGCAGTGACCAGACCCGGAGCAGCTGGTTGTGAAACGAACCAGAGCAACAAAGGCCAGGCCCTGAGCAGCCAGGCCCGGAACAGCTCGCTCCTCGCCCGCCCCTGCCCCAGGGCTGCCTCTCAGACATGGCTGGAAACTTTCTTGGGAACTTGAGGGTCTGCTGAATCAAGTGATGAAGGCTTAGATCTGGATGTGTTGAGTTAGTATAGGGCTGGGGTGTTGATCTGTGAGTGCCTTGGGTGGGGCCTGGATGAGGCTGGTGGACCTATTGGGAAATGTCTTTTGTGTGAAGTGTATCATTGGGCATGTAGAGGTATTATTGATATGAGAAAATGCTAAGTAACTGATTTACTATCTGAAAAGGGATTTACTATTGGGGAAAGGGAGGGAAGAAGAGACTGAACATAAACTGCACCTATGGATGAGGACAATGGGGGATGGGGAGGGGGCGGAGGGTGGGGTGGGAACCTGGTGGAGGGGGGAAGAAATGAGGAACCTTTGTAATGATGTGAACAATAAAGATTGATAATAAATAAATAAATAAATAAATAAATAAATAAATAAAATAAAAAGTCCTCATAACTCCTGGCTGTAAAAACCATCATGGATTGTGGCTAAGACAGCATTTTGCTGGAGTCCCAAGCAGTTCCTTTTAAAGGGCCTGCACACATACTTACTTGGACTCACTCCCTTTGAGCTCCATCACTAGGGCAGTAGCTTGAAAGGCACCAGGGACATATGGGGAGGAACTGAGTTGTCTGGCATCAAGGTAAGAGCTGGGGAGGTGGAGGTAGCTTTCTGGCAGAGGCCATTGTTCTCCCCCACCCTCTTACCCCCACAGAGCCAGCAGGAGGGTACCATATCTGAGTTTCTATCAACCAACTTCACACTCTTCACCCCTGGTGATTCCCTGAGACTCTGCCCCACCCAACCTGGGAGTCCACCCACGCTGTTTTCAGTGGCTTTTCCATATGAAAAACTTATGCTTCAGGCTCTCCTAAAATCTCTCAAAATGTAGCATCTGGCTTCAGCATGCCCTACATCTCACAATAAGTGGTCCCAGGTCCAGCACTATCAGCAGCCAACCTTGGTTCACAGCTATCATTTAAAATGGAAGGACAGCCCTAATCAGTTTGGGATAGAGATTCAGCCTGCAGACTGAAGGGTCCTAGGTTTGATTCTGGTCAAGGGCATGTACCTTGGTTGCGGGCACATCCCCAGTAGGGGGTGTAGAGGAGGCAGCTGATCCATGTTTCTCTCTCATTGATGTTTCTAACTCTCTATTCCTCTCCCTTTCTCTCTGTAAAATATCAATATATATATCAATATATATCAATATATATCTATATCTATATCTATATCTATATCTATATCTATATCTATCTATCTATATATATATATATATTTTTTTTTTTTAAAGAGTGAAGGCATCTTCCAAAGGGAGATCCCTTCTATTTATAAAAATAAAAAAATGGAAGGACATAGAAAAAGCTTCCTAGGCAAGAAAAAAATAAAATAAAAGAGCTCATCACCACCACATGTATTACATGAAATATTAAAGGTTCTTCTTTAAGAAGAAGAAGAAAAAACATTAAAAATATGAACAATAACATGACAATAAATGCATGTATATTGACAGTTGAGTCTAAAAAACAAAATAAACAGAACAGAAACAGACTCATACATACAGAGAATATTTTGACAGTTGCTGGATATAAGGGGAGTTGGGAGGATAAGTGAAAAAAGTGAAAGGATTAAGAAGTATAAATTGGTTGTTACAGAATAGTCATGGGGATGTAAAGTACAGCACAGGGAAGATAGTAAATAATATTCAAACAAATATCTGTTCGTGTCACATGGGTACAAGATTCATTGGGATGATCACATAATAAGTTATATAATGTTCAATCCATTGGGTTGTACACCTGAAATGAACATAACAATGTATGCCAACTGTAATTTAAAAATTTTAAAATTATTTAAATTAAAAATGTATAATGTAATGCAATTCAATATATACAGATATACATAGAATGTGGGGCAAAAGTAGATTTATAGTTGTTCACATGGAAAATAATACAAATTAATAAATAATAGTATAAGAATAAACTCATGTATTCAAACTGTAAACCTACTTTTGGCCCACCCTGCATTATTTATAATTACAAGAAAATGTTTCTGTATTATTCTAAGCACTTTAGATGAATTATCTTATTGACTCCTGGCATACATCAGTTCTATAAGGCAGGGGTGGGGAACCTTTTGTCTGCCAAGGGCCATTGGATATTTATTACATCATTCATGGGTCATACAAAATTGTCAACTTAAAAATTAGCCTATGTTTGGTCTAAGATTTAATTAACTCACCCCTAATGCCTTGCCAGGGCCAGACCAAATGATTTCCCAGGACTTACATGGCCCACAGGCCAGATGTCCCCCACCCCTGGTATGGGTGTGAGCTATTATCATCCCCTTTTTACAGATGAGGAAAATGACACACAGAAAGGTTGAGAAACTTCCCCAAAATCTGAACCAAGGCAGTTTAACTCCACTGCCTCCTTTCTCACCAAACAACACACTTGCTGCCTCCCCCATGGTGTGGCCCTGCAGGATGGTTCTGTTTTTCATAGGTCTTCCTTGGCCTTCACTTTTACTACAAGTCTGCCTCTGGCTGCATTTAAGAGGTTTTTCCTTCCCCATCCCATAGCAGTCCTCAAATAAGGAGTAGGTAAATCACTTAGCCGCAGTTTGGAAAGAAAAGATGGTCCTGGGAAAGGTTGTCCATGTACTTTGAGTTGGTTTTCAGTTGGAAGGGTGAATTTTCATTATATATATATATATATATATATATATATATATATATATATATATATATATATATATATATATCGTTGTAATAAAGGCATGCCTTTGTATGGCTATAGCATGCCTTTTGGTGGTTAGGTAATGTGGTGGACAGAATAACATCCCCCAAGGTGCCCACGTCTAGTTCCTGAACTTGTGAATATGTTACCTCAAATGGCAAAAAAGGACTTTGCAGGTGTGATTAAGGATTTTAAATGAAGCAATCATTCTGGGTTATTTGGAGGAGTGCACTGTAATCACAAGGTCCTTGTAAGTGAAAGAGAGAGGCAGGAGTGAGGCTCAGAATCAGAGAAAGAATGGAAGATGCTACTCTGCTGGCAATGAAATTGGAGGAAGAAGCCACGAATGAATGCTGATGGCCTCTAGACGCTGAAAAAGGCAAAGAACTGTATTCTCCACTAGAGCCGCTTGAAGGAAAACAGCCCTGTCCACACCTTGACATGAGCCTGGTGAGACCCATTAAAAAAAAATTTTTTTTTTTAATTGCCGAAACCGGTTTGGCTCAATGGATAGAGCATTGGCTTGGGGACTGACGGGTCCCGAGTTCGATTCCGGTCAAGGGCATGTACCTTAGTTGCAGGCATATCCCCAGTGGGTGGTGTGCAAGAGGCAGCTGATCGATGACTCTCTCTCATTGATGTTTCTAGCTCTCTATCTCTCTCCCTTCCTCTCTGTACAAAATCAATAAGATATATTTAAAAAAAAATTTTTTTATTGGTTTCAGAGAAAGGGAGAGGAAGAGAGAGAAACATCAATGATGAGAGAGCACCCCACACTGGGGATCCAGCCTGCAACCTGGCATGTGCCCTGACCAGGAATCAAATCGTGACCTCCTGGCCCATAGGTTGATACTCAACCACTGAGCCATAGAGGCTGGGCCTGGTGAAACCCATTTTAGATAGCAATTGAAGATTAGGAAACAAAATTAGAACTCTGCCAAATGTTTACAAGCTCATGGGTGGTTTGACTAATGGAGGAAATTCTATTTATGTTCTCTTCTCACATTCTCCTCCAGCATTTGCTCTCAGATTCTGTCTAAACTGATCGAACAGAATTCTTGCTGAAGGCAGGCCAGGGTGATCAGATATCATGTAGGGAATGGAAAGGGGTGAGGAATTTGTTGATGTATGGGAGGGGGATTCTGGCCTAATTTACAGAATTCTCAGTAAAATTGGATGATGCATAAAAGCACATGCAAGTCCTAAAGTCAGGCCTAGTTGATAAAGAGTATAGCCTTTTTCCTGATAAGGGAGCTTGAGTAAGGTTTTAGTAGGTCAGAGAATCTCTGTCGGTGGAATCACACATACGTGGCCGTTTGTGACTGGCTTCTTTCACTAAGCATACTGCATGGGTCAACACTTAATTCGTTTTTATTGCTGCATAACATTCCAATGTATGGATTCAAAGTTTGACTAGATCAAGGTTTTTTTTAGTTTTTATTGTTTTTGATCACAATATTCTTTACCTTTTGGGTTTGTTTGCCAAAAGACAATCTGAAAGAGGCGCTCCAGTCGCAGAGAAAAGGCACCCAGGTCTCCCACAAACCACCCCCCCCCCCCTCCCGGCCACCCACGGCTAAGAAAGCCCCTCGGAACCAAACAGCGCGGCGCTCGGTTTCTGGAGGGGACACATTTGCAGAGGACTTCCGGCTAGAGGCCTGGCCCGGACCGGAAGAGACTCGCGGCTGCAGCGCGGAGTCTGTCAGTTCAGCCGGGATTAGGGGCTGGGATCCGGGAGTGCTCGGCGGGCAGCGGGAAGGCAGGTGCGCGGCGGAGGGCGCTGGTCCGGACTCCCCGCAGCGCGGCCATGAACCTGGAGCGGCTGCGGAAGCGTGTTCGGCAGTACCTGGACCAGGTGGGCGGACCGACTCGGGGAGTCGTGAGGGGAGCTCGCCCCGGTCTTTTTCCTCCGGGGGAGCTGCGGTTTGGGGTTTGGTGGTGCAGGGTCCAGCCGGGCCTGGCTGTCTCTGCAGCCGAGAGGACGAGGAGCACTGAAAAGGAAAGCCCCCTAAACTCAGGGTGAGCCTTACAGGTACACGAGGTCCTGTCGGCTGCCGGCCTAACCCCTGGGCACACAGTAGGTGCTCAGTGCACACTTAGGTTGAGTGGAAATTGGAGAATTATTTTTTAGGAGGAAAGTTGCAGGGTGGCCTTTGAATTTAGCTAGCTAATAGAAAGTTTGGGAGAAGTTGTCATTCATACTTGGCCGAATGTAAGCGAATAAAGATACCAACAAGCCTGTTGCCTCAAATCAGCAAGGTAAACTGTGTTCCCTGCATGGCCCTCCAGCGAACAGCAAGCTTCTGTGTTTGAGAAAGAAGTGTCTCCAGAATCAGCAGCATCCGTTTAAAATAGGATGTCACTTAAGTTTTAGTAAAATGAATGCTCTCCCAATAAATTGGAAACCAAGGGAGAGGAAAGCATGTGCGATGAGAGATGTTGAGGATTGGTTGTGAAATGATGCTGCCAAATGCTTTGGCAGTGCTTTGGAGAGCTCTGTTTTGGTTCACGGTAAGTCAGTTGAACGCATGCTTCCTGAGCACTTTTCTGTGGCGCTGGGGATGCTGTGAGAAATGAGACAGGCCTGCTTGCCACCCTTGGGGCACTTAACATTGAGCAGATTTGTCGCCGTCTATTAGCATTCCTCCTCCCACTTGGACAGTTGAGTTCCTAGTTTGATTCCTGGAGGACTGAGGCAAGGATTGTAGAAAAATTAAGAACCATTGTTAATGACTAGATACTATAAAATAATCACTTATATTTCCTACTATTTTAGATACCTGCTCATAGTTTTTTCCCCCCCGTTTTTAAAACTATTCTTTTCCATCCCCTTAGCCCCCTCCTTTGACAACTGTCAGCTTGTTCTGTATATCTAAGGACCTGTTTTTGTTTTTTAGATTCCATTTATTAGAAAAATCATACCATATTTGCCTTTCTCTGTCTGATTTATTTCACTTAATCCTCTAAATCCATACACGCTGTTGCAAATTTTTTTGGGAAATCCTCCCCCCCCCCCCCCCCCACACACACACACATACTATATCTTCTTTGTGCTCTCATCTACTGATATAAACGAGGTTATGTCCATATCTTGGCTGATGTGAATATCCTGAAATGATCATAGGGGTGCATGTAACTTTTTGAATCAGTGTTTTGGTTTTCTTTAGATAAATACCCCTGGTTTGGCCAGAAGCAGAATTGTTGGGTCATAAGATAGTTCTGTTTTTCATTTTTTAAGAAACTCGATACAGTTCCTCCCCCCCCCCCCCCCCATACAGTTTTTCATAGTGGCTACACCAATTTGTAAGCCCACCAACAGTGTACAAGGGTTTCCTTCTTATCCATTTTCTCACCAGCACTTATTTGTTGATCTATTGATGATATCCATTCTGACAGGAGTGAGGTGATATCTCATTTTTATTTTAATTTGCATTTCCCTGATGATTAAGCATCTTTTCATGTCTATTGGGCATCTGTATGTCCTCTTTGGAGAAATTTTTATTCAAGTTTTCTGCCCATTTTTAAAATTGGATTGTTTGTGTTTTGGGTGTTAAGTTGTATGAGTTCCTTAGATTATTTTGGGTATTAACACCTTATTAGATGTACCACTTGTGAATAATTTTTCCCATTCAGTAGGTCATCTTTTTGTGTGTGTTTTTTGTTTTGTTTTGTTTTGTTTTTTTTGTTTTTTGTGGGTTTTTTGTGTGTGTGTGTGTGTGTGTGTGTGTGTGTGTGTTTGTTGGTTTCCTTCACTGCAAAAACTTTGATGTGGTTGAATTTTGTTTATTTTTCCTTTTGTTGCCCTTACCCAAGATATATCTAAAAAGATATTGCTAAGAGTGGTGTCAGAGTTTACTGCTTAGGTTTTCTTCTAGAAGTTTTATGGTTTTAGGTGTTAAGTTTAAGTCTTTAATCTATTTGGAGTTTATTTTTGTGTGTGGTCCAGTGTGTGTGTGTGTGTGTGTGTGTGTGTCTGTCTGTCTGTCTGTCTCTCTCTCTCTCTCTCTCTCTCTCTCTCTCTTTTTTGCATGTGTCTTCGTTTTTCCTAGTACCACTTATTAAAGAGACCATCTTTACCCCATTGTATATCCTTGCCTCCTTTGTCATAGATTAATTGACCATGTAAGTAAGGATTTATTTCTGGGATCTCTATTCTAGCCCATTGACCTATATCTCTGTTTTTATGCTAGTACCTGCTGATACATTTTTGCAGTGTATAAGTTTATTTTTTTAAAAAACTGCCCTGTTGAACTGTATATGTAATGATCTTACAATAATTTTTTATTACCTCATTGAACTGAAACTTACCTAGCTGAGGTATAAGATAAAGATATGATAGGCTCCTACTACATGTAAATAAATACTGCATTCTAATAATATTAGATATTTGTTTAAAAGTTGAAGTAACAGGGAAATTATCGTTTTTTTCTTATACAGCAACAATATCAAAGTGCTCTATTTTGGGCAGATAAAGTAGCTTCACTCTCTCATGGTAAGTGACAAACCCTAATTTTTTAAAATTTCTCTATATTTAAAAATATTTCTATTTTACCTTGTACCTCTGACCAATTCAGTGATTTCTCCCTCCAGAGGAACCCCAGGACATTTATTGGTTGGCTCAGTGTCTTTACCTGACAGCACAGTATCATCGAGCAGCTCATGCACTTCGGTCACGAAAACTAGATAAAGTAAGTGATTGTATGAACGTTAAAGCTTTTCAGAGCTTTTTAAGACTGTCCTTAAATTAGTATTGTAGGTGTTTGTTTTATGTGAAAATTATTTAAAAGGACTTAATTTTGCTATTCGTAATCTCAGTCACTTTGCTTTTCCTTCCCACCTCTAATCACCAAGTTTTGAAAATTTCTGTTTTCTAAAATAGCTCTGAAATTATGGATAGTCCTTTCTACCTTGTTACCACTCATACGTGTCAGGCCTTTAATTTGTCTGGTTTGTTGTTTTTGTCTCTTCTCTTGTCTCTCTTCTCCAGTAACATCTTTCCCACTCCCCACCTTCATTTTTTATTTTTATTATTATTTTTTTAATATATTTTATTGATTTTTTTACAGAGAGGAAGGGAGAGGGATAGAGAGCTAGAAACATCGATGAGAAAGAAACATCGACCAGCTGCCTCCTGCACACCTCTTACTGGGGATGTGCCGCAACCAATGTACATGCCCTTGACCAGAATCGAACCTGAGACCTTCCAGTCTGCAGGCTGATGCTCTATCCACTGAGCCAAACCGGTTTCGGCTCCAGTTCATTTTTTAAATTCTCACAGTGATGGTCTTTCTAAAACACAGATCCGATGGTGCCACTGACAATATCGTTCAGTGATTTCCCATTTCCTACAGGAAAAAATAACCTGCATTAATAGACTCCTTTATGATTTCTCACCAGTCTGCTTCTAACTGCCTACCAACATCAGTACATGCAGCACGTGCTGAATACTTGCACTGCCTTGTACTAGTGGCAGATATTCAGACTCAGTGCCTAGAAGGCTGAGTAACTCCTCATTTACCTTCTCCCCTGCGGATGTTTTCTTCCTCAGGTGGCAAGAACTTTTTATGTCCTCTTTCCGTTGTGCAAGAAACTGTGCTATGTTTATGTCTCCCCTGCTTTAACTTCCCAGAGGACAGGCCCCTACTCCTTTTTGGATCCTCGGTGCCTAGTAAACAGTAGGTTTTATGATGGGTGTGGGTTAAAAAAGACTGGATTTTTTTTTTTTTTTCTCTACAAGAGTAAAAGGAAAAATTATCAAACTAGCTTTATTTCATCCTCATAGTTTTCTTTTAGAGTGAAGATGCACAGTACCTTGACCACTATTTTAATAGATTAATTTCTTTTCTAGTTGTATGAATCTTGCCGCTACCTTGCAGCTAGATGCCATGTAAGTATCCTTTCCGTTTTCTTTTTATTTGGTAGAAGTTTAATTATATGAATGTTATGCATCTCTCACATATGTGTAAGAATTCTAATGATGGAGTTTGATGGTTAATATTTTGTGAGGAAATGTTCTTTAATATTGTTTGCTATAAAATATTGATTCTCCACATGCATGAAGAAAATTCCACTTAGACATTAATTTTTTTAAATATGTTTTTATTGATTTCAGAGAGGATAGGAGAGGGAGAGAGATAGACGTATCAATGATGAGAGAGAATCATCAACTTGGCTGTCCAAAACCCAGGCATGTAAATTGACCAGGAATCAAACGGTGACCTCCTGGTTCATGGGTCGACTCTCTGATGTCTGAGCACACTGTTTGGGTTAGACACTTTTCAATTTAAGTAATGAATGGATATAATATTTGTTAACCTTTTAAAATCTATAGTATTGCCCTGGTCAGGTGTTCTGGTTGGTTGGAGTGTTATTCCATACACTAAAAGGTTGTGGGTTTGATTCCCAGTCAGGGCACATACCTAATTTGTAGATTCCATCCTGGTCGGGGCACATAGAAGAGGCAGCAATCAGTGTTTCTCTCCCATAATCTGTTTCTTTAAAAAAAAATCCATGAAGTCTGCAGTATTTGTGTCTAAATCTAGTGTTTGAAATCATGGCTGACGAACGGTATTTCTGTTTTTTACATAGTATGCTGCGAAAGAGCATCAGCAGGCTCTTGATATTCTTGATATGGAGGAGCCTATCAACAAACGATTATTTGAGAAGTATTTAAAGGATGACAGTGGTTTGAAAGACACCCCCAATGACTGGGAAATGTCACAGTCCTCAGTAAGTAATACTATAATAAGCATGTTTCGGTAGCATGAGTAAGAAGTAACAAGAATAAATTATTTTATTTTACTTGAGTATAACCATGTTAAAATATGTTGGTTGCCTACTTAATTTGCCCTCCAAAATTCAAAACGATTTTGAGACATTTTTGAGCCATCAGTTGGAAGCGATAATTATAATATATTCTCAGATGCTTGAGTCTGAACTAGGCTGATTTGAGATCTTCCTTCCATTTGATGCCTAAAACTACTTCCCACAGGTGGCATAGCCTTTACCCTTACTGAGTTTCAACAGTGTTTATACCTGCTCCCAAGAAACTTTGATTACCATAGGTTGTTTCTATAGGGTGGTTTGGTGTTTTTATTTATGATATTTGTGTATTTCAATTTGTATACTTTCTATCTGCATGAAATTGCTAATTCCTTGCTGGCAGAGATTATATAATATAGGTGACATCTACATTCAGATTACTAATCTGGACTGTTATTCCTTTTTTTTTTTTTTTTCATTAACAGCTTTCTTGATAAATAATCCACATGTCATGCAATTCATTCATTTAAAATGTACAGTTGCTTGGCTTTTAGTATATTCACAGAGCTGTTCAACCCTCACCTTAGCAACTGTAGAACATTGTTACTTCAGAAAGAAACCCTGGACTGTGTAGTCATTATCATCACTTCCCCCATTTTTCTAGTTATTTTTTATAACTGTTAATAAAGAACTTGTAAGTCACCTAAAAAATATAGGAATACTAAACATTTTTAGGTGTTTCTCTCTCTTTTGTACTGTCTGTATATTTTATATACTAAGAAGTACACATTCATTTTTCTGCCAAGAAATGCATTTGTGAGGGAGCTTGGTATTATTATCATCTTTGGACTTCTTATCCATTAACTTACCTGCTAAGAAATACATATTTCTTTGTAATGTATTATTAAAGTGCTTTTTAAAAAATAACTTATTGGATACTACATAGGTCTAAGATTCTCTCATAAGGTACTCCAGTGTTTTTTAAATTTTGATTTTATAATGAATATTCTTCAGCTCTGTACCAGTTTTAGCCTTTAAGCTCAGTTATGTGTTTCTTGAGATTCAGAGTCTGGAATATCAATTAGATTTTTACATTTTCTTGTTAATGATGATGGTGAGGTAACTACTGTGTAAGCACTGTACCATGTGCTAGCTCTGCAGAGACTTAGCACCTCTACTCCTCATAGAGCCCTGTAATTTAGGTGAGAAAAGGAAACTGAGGCCAAGAGCAGTTACATCACTTGTCCAAGGTCACTAAGTGTCAGAACTGGAATTTGAACTCAAGTCTGTTCAGTTCCAGAAAGCCATGCTCCTAACACTATGCTACATTGCTGCCAGTTTTCTAATAGTTACTAAGATCCTTTCATAGAGACCTACCTATCAAACTGTTAAAGTTTGATGCAGTATATGTGTGCTGTTTACTATCTCGAAATCCTTACTCTATTTGAGAAAAAAAGGTAATGAAAAAAGTAGAGTGACATCTTCACTATAAAGAAGTGCTGAAGTGAGGAGAGCCTAGGGAAGATAGATTAGAGAAGTTTTGTCTGCCTTCATGTTTCTGTTTATACTATATCTGACAGTGGGGTGGAAAAATCCTTTTAGAGTAAAAAAAAAAAAAAAGTCCTGGGCCTTCAGATTATATAAAATTTTTTATAAATTAAGTTTAAAATTATTGGCTTAGTATGTGACTCATATTTTTCCAACAGATAAAGAGTTCTATTTGTCTTTTACGAGGGAAAATCTATGACGCTCTAGATAACCGAACCCTAGCTACCTATAGCTATAAAGAAGCTTTGAAGCTTGATGTCTATTGTTTTGAAGCATTTGATCTTTTGACGTCACACCACATGTTGACAGCCCAAGAAGGTTTGGAAACTCAGGTGTTTGTATGTTTAGCACAATTGATATTCTTTTTATGTGTTTTCCCCCTGAAATCTGTGAGTCAACAGCAGGCTCTGTACAGATTTAGATTTAAATAGACCTATTAACTTCCTTAGTGTCTTCAAATATGACATGCATTACAGAATACAATACTGAGCAGTTCCTGTTGCAGTCAGAATCCTTAGGGATTGTGATGTGATAAGACCATATTTTTGAGAAGTGATTTGAGGTAATATAAACAAGATTTCAGTATCTGATTACATGGCTCTCAACTTGACTGCATTTTAAATTCCCAAGGAGCTTTAAAAACCTCAGTGTACAGGTTCCAGCTTTAGACCAGTTGAATCAAAATCTCTGGTGGGGATGCTCTGGCATGATTTAAGGTTTCCAAATGATCCTATGGGACAATAAGGGCCAAGAACCATTGACCTAGAGCAGCGATTTTCAACCAGTGTGCCGAAAGAAAAATTCTAAAGTAATACCTATGTAGCCCTCTTCTCCCTTAGATTGTCAAATAAGAAAATGACAACAGCCAGCCCAGACTGTATCCTCTTCATTTTGGACATCCCTCTCATGATCTGGGACTGCTGGCTCCTAACCACTCACCTATCTGCCTGCCAAGTCACCCTTAACTGCCCTTTCTGGCTGACCTAGTCGCCCCTTAACCACCTCTGCCTCAGCTCCCCCCAGCAAACACAATAGCCATTTGGTGTAATGAATCAAAAGTAACCTATTTTTTGTTGTTGTCAGATCGGCAAAAAAATATATTTTTTGGTGTGCTGCAGAATTTTAGTAGTTAGATTGTATGTGCCATGAGACGAAAAAGGTTGAAAATCACTGACCTAGAGCATTGGCAGTGATGTGAGGTGGATAAGCAAAGGAAACAGAGAGAAAATGGGGATGTTATATTAATGAGATTCAAACATATTTTAGTCTAGTGCACTGGTTCTCAAACAGGGTGATTTTGCCTCCTAGGAGGCATTGAGCAGTATCTGGGGACATTTTTGATTGACATAACTTTGGGGTGGGGGATGAGGAGGGAGGAGGGAGGTTGCTACTGATTGCTAGTGGGTTGAGACCAGAGATCCTGCTGAATCTCCTGTGGCGCATAGGACAGCCAACACCACAGAGAACTGTCCATGCAAAGTGCAGTAGTGCTGGGGCTGGGAAAGGGCCTGGTAGTAGCATGGCCCTTCAGGTAGTCCTCATCACCTGGGCCTGAACCACTGTCCTAGATTTTTCTAGTACATTTTGATATTGTTATTTTCTTTTTTGAGTTTGACTTATTTAGACAAGAACTATAGAAGAATATTTTTTATTACTGACTCCCCTGCCCCCATAAATATTGTGATGACATTTTTTTCTCAATGTTTTGAAGAAAAAGAACTCCTTGAATCACTACCTCTTAATAAGCTCTGTACTGAAGAACAGGAATTGCTACGTTTTCTATTTGAGAACAAATTAAAAAAGGTAAGTAAAAACACAGTATTTGCATTATGTGAGTATCTTATTTCTTTCATTCAATTTGGCCTCTATTCTTTTACTAGTTAAATTTTTAGAAATTTTTATTAATCTAGCACATTTGCAAGAATGGATTTAGATTTCTTTAAAAAAGCTTCAAAAAATATGTCTTCATCCCAGGGACTTCTTATACTAAAAGATTGAACTATCAAATAAATGGAATCATGTTGCATGAAAATGAGGGTTTTTTTCTTATGCGTCCTGAACTTCTACTTTGTAAAATACTTCCTGTATGGAATTCTGTGATAAAATTAAGCCCATTGGGAGGAGTACTGATGAGTCTTGCAGTTAAAAATGTTTCCAGAGACTCATACGTGTCCTTATGTAAATCCTTTAAACACTTGAGTAAGATTGAATCTGCCTTTTGACTTGGTATAGCTCATTGAGTTTACATTTCTTCCTCTGTTTCAGTATAACAAACCCAGTGAAACTATCATCCCTGAGTCTGTAGATGGTTTGCAAGAAAATCTGGATGTGGTAGTATCTTTAGCTGAAAGACATTATTATAACTGTGATTTTAAAATGTGCTACAAGCTTACTTCTGTGTAAGTATATCCGTTTATTTTTGTTTAGGAACATTTCATCTAAATATGCATGGGGCATGCTTTCTGAGTAATCTTGAATTAATTGATGGTAATTAAGTTGCCCTTACTATCGATACTTTGCAGAATACAATAGAGGGTTATTCCATTAACTGGGGAGTATACATGTCCCTCATTTCAGTCTTTGATAGTCTGCAAGTTTGAAAATACCATTTTGGCTAGTTTTATGAATCTCTTCTTTGTTAGAGATTAATAAAATCCAAGAAGTACTAGTGTTCAGTCAGGCACACTGACTAGCCAACCCATCTTTCAAGTTTTCCAGTGTACATAGTTCAAACCTGTTCTTTACTAAATCATACATACCATTTTTAATAGATCTTTAGGGTTGCATAAATCCTTGAATTCACAAAAATTTTAATTGATAAATACTTATATCTATTTTATATTTTACATTGTTTTTGATCCTTCTAAATAATTGGACTACTTATTTAATGTTACAGTTCTATTGATTGTGATATATATTTTTATTCCATATCGGAATTTTCCTTTTCACTTATAACTTAACTAGAGGCCCTGTGCATGAAATTCATGCATCTCAGTCCAGCCTGCACCCTCACCAATCTGGGACCCCTTGAGAGACGTCTGACTGCCGTTTTGGCCCGATCTCAGTGGGATCAGGGATAAATGGGCAGTCAGACATCTCTCTCACAATCCAGGACTGCTGACTCCCAACTGCTCGTCTGCCTGCCTTTCTGATTGCCCCTAACCGCCCTCCCTTGCCAGCCTGATTACCCACTAACCACTCCCCTACCAGCCTAATTGACACCTAACTGTTCCCTGCCAGCCAATTGCCCCCAACTGCCCACCCCTGCAAGCCTGGTCACTCCCAACGGTTCTCCCCTGCAGGCCGGTTGCCCCAAATTGCCTACCCCTGCAGGCCTGATCGCTCCCAACTGCCCTCCCCTGCAGGCCTGGTCACTCCCAACTGCCCTCCCCTGCCGGCCCAGTCACCCCTAACTGCCCTCCCCTGCCAGCCTGGTCACCCCCACCCTCTCCTACCTTCCTGGTCGCCCCTAACTTCTCTCCCCTACTGGCCTGTTCACCCCCAACTGCCCTCTTCTGCAGGCCTTGTCCCGCCCAACTGCCCCCCCCTGCAGGCCTGGTCCCCCCTAGCTGCCTTCCCCTGCCTGCCCGGTCACTCTTAACTGCCTTCCCCTGCAGACCTGATCACCCACAACTGCCCTCCCCTGCTGGCCATCTTGTGGCAGCCATCTTATGTGTTGGAGTGATGGTCAATTTGCATATTACCTCTTTATTATATGGGATTATATAGGATAATGTGTTAAGAAAGTAAAAAATTAATAAAATCCTCAATATTGTACATAGTGCTGTAATGACTACTTAATCATAATTATAATGAGTATTGTGCTGTTTCTGGGATAGTAATGTGTTGCTTTAACTTTCAGAGTAATGGAAAAAGATCCTTTCCATGCAAATTGTTTACCTGTACATATAGGAACACTTGTGGAGCTGAATAAAGCAAATGGTAAGAATTTTTCTGTTAACTCTTGAAATTCTATCTCACAAGTCCTGGATAATTAAAGTCATAGGTTATAACATAATAAAAATAACAACTGGGAGAAGAAATGCTTATCAAAGCAACCAATGGTCTATTCTGTTATCTCAACAGAACACTATATTTCTTTATCCCTGCTTCCTGCTCCCTCGTCTCAGATGTAACTTGTGGTTAAGTGTTGAGTGGCAGTTCTGCCTTTTTTCTCTTTTTTCTGTAAAATTTTTAAGCAAATTTTTAAGCAAAAGTCAGTAACTTTTTTGAAGTTGGAAGCTGGCAGATTTTTTTTTTTTTTTTTTTTTTTGCTCAGGTTTTCCATATCTTAACATTTTGGAAATATTTAGTTGTGTTTGGACTGTATTCGCCTTTAAATCTTTTAGGCTGAATAATGAGTCCTGTCAAAAGGAAAAGCCAGTCACTCTAACTCCAAATCCCTGCCGCTTCACGTGTGGCCTATGACCGACAGCATCATATCTCCTGGCAGCTTATTGGAGATGCAGATGCTCCAGCTGCCCTGGCCTAATGAATTCAAGGCTGCATGTAGGAAACACAATCATGATGTGCCAAGGACTCACATATTATTCAAGAGGAAATTATAAACTCGAAAGTTTGGTCAACCGAACTGGTTGTAGGTATTTAAGATGGTCCATGACAGGCCCTTGGAATAAGAGACATGAGTTGTTAAGATAGGTAAGGTACTTTGAAATAATCTCTTAAGGGCCATGAAGCGCTTTACTATGTGTCATTCTAATTTTCTAGTCACTCAGCAAGTGCTCAGTGCCTGCTTATAAGTTGGGCACAGGTAAAGAATTTTAGAGAGAGTGAGTTTAAATAAAACAGCCATAGTATCCACCCTTTGGAGTTTCTGTATTTTATTGGATAAATGAATTTTGATTCTAAAAAGAAAGAAAAAAAAGAATGAAATCATTGCTGTGAGAACAACATTTATATGATTGTAAAGAGTTATGCCTGGGGGAAAGTCATGCCTTAAAATTCATTTGATGTGAATAATTTTTTTCTTTTTTTTTTTTTCCCCTAATGTAGAACTTTTCTATCTTTCTCATAAATTGGTGGATTTATATCCTAGCAACCCTGTAAGTAAATATAAACAATTTATTTATTAAAAGTGTTTTTTCTTACTTGAATTTAAAGAAAATGCTTAACTAGTATTTAGACAGCTTATATTTAAATGTAGCCAAATATGTTTTATTTTGAGGTATTGGAGCAGAATCTCCTAGTGCTTATGATAATAGAAGCTGCATTAACTTTCTCAATCCATGAAGGTATTTTTTTAGTGTATTGAAACATAACTTAATACAAAGATCTTTATTTTTTTATTATAGAAATTATGTATGTTTATTATTAAAAATACTCAACATGCAGAAAAATAAAATATTGAAAGTCAAAATCACACTCCCACCTCTCATAAGTAATGCTAGCAAATGCTTGGTAGCTTTCTCATGTTGCATACATAAGGTACCTTACTGGATTGTGCACTGATTTAAATCATCATGTCTTCCAAACTGCTATGGATCAGAACTGTGAAATTGAAAGTGGAACCAGAAACTGTGTCCTTAAAAACAGAAGTCAAGAATCAGGGTCTAAGTCTCAGTTTGCACTCTAGACCAGTATGAAAATAACTTATAAAGAGGCAACACTAGTGCAAGAGATGTCAGATAGCAATATGGATCCAGAGGCAGGGAAGATTCATAGAGCAGGTGAGAGGCCAGGACTGAGTGGATTTGAAATAGGAAGTGTTCAGTAGCCTCGCCTTGTGTACAGTGCTGCAGGGAAGTGATTGAAGGCCTCTTGAGGAAGGGCTGTGAAGATGTGATTCTCTTCTAACTTGAACTAGAATATGGGATGGAACACCTAATCCACCCTCTGGCCTAATTTGCTAGATTTTTTTTATTCAAAATCTTTGGTCATGGTAAATTTTGAACTTTGTAGGTTTCTTGGTTTGCAGTGGGATGCTATTATCTCATGGTTGGTCATAAGAATGAACATGCCAGAAGATATCTCAGGTATGAATTTATTGTCTTCCTCGCTCTGTACTGAACCTGTAGAGAGACTTTTTGCTCATCTGCTTTAATGCAATAAATAGAAGTATTTTAAAAGCAGTGTAAAAGGAAAAATGTTTTCTTTGGCAGATTTAGTTCAGTTGCATTAGTTATGTACCTTGATTTTATACGATGTCATGAGGGAGATCAAAGTAATCAGTGGTGTAGACCTTGTTCTCAAGAATCTTGTAACATATTTTATTTATTTATATATAAATGAGAAATGTGAAATAGTAGAGAACATTATAAAATCGTTTGAAAGGTTCTGTTTGTCATTTACAGAGACATTATTAACTGCTTACTTTTAGAATATCTTTTATTAATAGTTGTGAAGTTACATAAAACTTTACGTGAGATTAGGATCAGTAAAAGTGACTATAAAACAGAATTCTTGGTATAGGGAACTGGTTTATATAAGGACCTGCTGTGGTTTTAGATTAAGGAACTCCATGCAGCCCAATCAATCTACTTAACCTGTATTATTCAATTATTCAAGTACAGGAAAATGTCTGTGAAGAATTAATTACTAAAGATTAAAAATGTAATGATACTTGTGTTATCCTCCATGTAAATAAAATAGAAAGTGGATATAAGGGAAAATATGTGAACTTTGGACACTGTCTTGAATTCTCATCCAAGTTCCAACATTTGCTAGCCACAGCCCCTTGGGAAAGTTAATTTCTCTATTTTTTTTAATGGAAATGATATAATACTTGTATCCCAGGATTGTTGGGAAAATTAATAAGTTGACATGAAAGGATCCTACACTGGGAAGAAAATAGGGAGAGCCCTCTGGTTAGTTGTGTAAAGTATTTTAGAAAACCTTGCTTGTGCTGCTTCCTGGAGTAAGAAGATGATGTGTGTTGTAATTGTTCTTTGAACTATGCTTCTTTGAATTAGTGTGCTAATTCAGTAATGGACTCTACATGAAACAGGGAACATTTTGGTGAAAGAAAACTTAGAAAATAAAATGCTAGGAAGTGTGAATCTCACCCTTTATATTTTCCATGTCTTATAATTTTTGTTTTATATTCTGTTTTGGGTCACCAATGGGCCACTGATTGAAGACTGATCATTTAAGTCCAACTGGACTGACCATATCTAGTCCAGTTCTTAGAACCATGGTGAATCTCATAGCACCTTCTGTAGGATATCAGTCTTCCGGCCTCAGTATACTTATCTTTAACATATAAATAATAATTTATCTTGCAAGTTATTAGGATTAGATGACTCATACAAGGCATTTATCATATTGCCTGGCACAAAACAGGGTCTAAATGGTTGCTGCTACCACCATTTACCTACTTGGTTGTGAAGTGAAGCTCCTGGATTAAGTAATATTTATAAATTCTATACAGAATGCTAATGAGTTCAATTATAGTACCTAAAAAGTGCGGACCTCTCCTAAAATTTCTTAAAATTTTGCTTGTATTAGTAAGTATTCTTTTATCTTATAAAAGTATTCTTTTATAAAAGGGTAATATGCAAATCTACCAGACGGCAGAACAACCAGTCACTGTAATGTGCGCCAACCACCAGGGAGCAGATGCTCAACACAGGAGCTACCCCCTGGTGGTCAGTGTGCTCCCATAAAGGGAGTGCGGCTCAGCCAGAATCCCAGAAGCTGGACTCACGGCTGGCGAGTACAGTGGCAAGCCTCTCCCGCCTCCATGGCAGTGCATTAAGGATGTCTGGGAGTGGGCCTAAGCTGTCAGTTGGACATCCCAGACTGGACTGTGAGAGGGCACTAGCTGGGCTGAGGGACACCTTTTCCCCTCTATCCTCTCTTATCCCCTTCTCCCCCAGTGCACGAATCTCATTCATCAGGCTCTAGTTTCAAGTAAATTGACACAAATATTACATTAGTGTTTCATGCATTGACAACCCATTTATTTAATTTGAATGTCCTTAAAACCATCAGCTTACGTAAAATTAACAATTTAAGGATAAATATTGTATTAATTGTATGAAGTTTCTTATTTTAGTAAAGCTACGACACTTGAGAAGACCTATGGGCCTGCATGGATAGCATATGGACATTCATTTGCAGTTGAGAGTGAACATGACCAAGCAATGGCTGCTTACTTCACAGCAGCACAGCTGATGAAAGGGTATGGCAGAGAAAACTGATCAAACTGCATGAATGAATTTTTTTGCTAACAAAATGAAATTTATATTATTATTATCACTGTCATTTTGTAAACTAAAGAAAATATCTTACTTGCATGTAGCTACTGGCTTGTGATTATATAATAACTATGGAAATTGAGGGGGGAAGAAGCTGGTGTAGTGATTTTTGCCTAGCAGTTTTATCTTAACCAGAACAAAAGGGAACTATGAAATTAGGGTAAGGGAATAAATGAGGAAGGAAACTCTCTTTTACATGCTCATTCAAAAATGAAAGTATTCATAAGCAAAATTACTTATATTCTGTTTATGTCCAAAAGGTATTTGATATGGCTTAATGGTAGTATAGGACTATATTTGCCAATGTTCTAGCTTGAACTTGACATTAAATATATTTTGCTTTACATGAGATTAGGGTCACTAATATAATAGATAAGTTAATGTAAGTGTACCCTAAGAGTGTGATACTTTGGAGAGTAAAGTATTGCTATTTACTCCAGTTGGCTTTTTTTGGACAAAATTAGTCACACCTTGCAGTGTTCTTTCTGTGTTCGCTGTTCTCTGTCTCCATCTCTGTGGAGAGGTGGTGGGAGTGCAATGGGTCAGAGCTCTGGGCTGGAAACACACTGCTTGGTGATCTTGGCAAGTTATTTACCCTCTTGAAAAATAGTAACAGCAATACTCACTCTTAGGCTTACATTGAGGAGTAATTGAAATAATACCAGTTAAAGTTTTAGGACAGTGTCTGCCATGTAGAAAGAACCCTAATAAAAGTTAGCTACTTTAATTTGTTTGCTTGTATTCAGGAACAGGATCACATATTTATTTGTTTTGAATTTCATCTTGTTTAGGATTGATTGACCTTTTCAGATTATCAGACTCCTTTTGGTAACCAGTTTGCATCAAAATTATTTATGATCCTCAGGTGTGTGGGTTTTTTTTAGTTATATTAAATTTGATACATGACTTTTAAATCTAGTCATCCATGAAAACATTGTAAAGGAGATAGTTCCCTATCTACTAGTTTCCTTAGGCTACCATAACAAAATATAACAGACTGGGTGACTAAAACAACAGAAATTCATTTTCTCTCAGTTCTGAAGACTGGAAAGTATAATGTCCAGATGTTGATAAGAGCTCTCTTCCTGACTTGTAGATTGCTGCCTTCTCACTATGTCTTCACATAGTGGAGAGAGAGGTTTGGTGTCTCTTCATTTTATAAAGGTCCCAGCATTATGATCTGATGATCTTATTCAACCAATACAGTCATACTGGGTTGTTTGGTCTTAACAGATTAATTTTGGGAGGGATAAATAATTTATTGGGTTGTTTCTCATCTGCACATACTAGGGTCTGCTATTTATGTATTTTTTTTCCTATTCTAGGTTATCTAAAACCCAGAATAGTTATTATGAGTTGTTAGTTGCTAGCTAAGAATAAAAACCAGTGATAACTAATGATGTGATTAGTACTTTTAATGTTTCCCAATCTAGGCGATTTTTAATTAAATTTTTAAATCAGCTTCTCAAGATAAGCATTACTTTGTTTTACTTCCCTATCAGAATAGGGTTGCATTCTCTTAATCTGCCCTGTGTTTTTTGGTAAATGAAATTGTGTAAATATTTTAAAATGTCCTTCATGATTTGTGTTAGATATTTTGTAATGTACCATTTTAATACCCTGTTTTCTTATAATTTTGAGGAATTTTTCTGTGTATGTGGTTATCTTGGGGACTATAAGTAACATTTTAATATAATCTTGTTTGGATTAATAACAACTAGGGTGCTTTCCAACACTAACAACCAATTCTCTGATTCTCCAGACACCAACTGGATCACCTCCAAGTCAATTCATTTCTCATACTGACTATCCAGAGTTAGTGCAGACCTCACAGATTAAGGGCTTAGTCCTACAAGACTGAGTTGCCACTTCAGGTGCCAATCACAAGTCCCAGACCAATGGTACTTCTGACTGGCTGGCTATAAATCAGACATATATCTCTGTGTGTTCCCTTACAGATAACCTCATTCCCTGATTTCCTTTTAAATTTTTGGCCAGCCTCTTGTTTGCCTCAACTGGTATGGCTGCCTCAGGTTAATATTAAACAGTTACTGATTGTTTTTGACAACTGCCCTGGGAAGAGAGCTTATCTCATTGAATTGGCTATGAGTCAGATCAAAGAATCAAACTATGAATGTAGGTTTTCCAGGGAGCTGACTGATGGGTCAATTAGTGACAATTCTCTGTGGCACATCTCAGGGTCTCCAAGCTCATTCTCCTCCAGTGGCTGCAAGGCTGCTGATTTTCTAGGCTAGTGTGGAGCTGAGAAAAGGGAGATAGGAGGAAAGATAGGAGGGGGACCAGTTAAAACACCTTAAAATATGTTTTTCTTGCTGAGACTCAGCTGTATCTCTAGAATAAACACTCCTCACATTGTTGTAAGCCTTTGGTTAACTTCCAAAGTTCTGAAAAGTTCATTTTGATGATTTTTGGCAATGCTCTTGTTGCTTTCATGGAGAAGTAGATTGTATTCTGCCATTTTAGAAATACTTCCTTCAGGTAAAAACTTTTAAAACATTCTTCCTCGACCTTCTTTAGAACATAGAGTCTTGAATCATGATTCTAGATTTGAACCAAAGCACATACCAACCATTCAGTCAGTATTATTGACATTTTTAAATCCACCTGCAAAAAAAAATTATGTTTTGCTTGCTTTAATGTAATCATTGTACTTTGTACCTAAAACTATATCAGAGGATACGAAAATGGACTAGACATGACATAATTCAGAACTGTTTGAAGTGGAACTGATAATAACTGATGTAAGTTAGAAAGTCAGAAGCAGCTTCATGAACTTTTAACACAGTCATGAAGGACACATGGTACTGAGTCCATAAAGGAGAACCAGGAGGACAGTCTAGAATAGGGCCGTGACATTAGCATAGTGTAGGAAAACGATCAGCATAGACCTGTTTTTCTGCTTTAGGGATTTCTGGGGATTACTGTAGAATAATGAAATATAAAGGTTAAGTTGCTGAAAGGTTCCAGAGTGGCAGCTGATTAGTCTAAAAGCCCACTTGACATTTTTTAAATATTAGTAAACAAAATTTTAGAAAAAAATAAATGCTCTATTTTTGCCTTTATTTTGCAGACAGGTTTTGAAGTCAATACATTAATTTCTACTGAATTATTGTTTTTGGTGTTGAATATATGAAAATTTCTAATATTTTTAGGTGTCATTTGCCAATGCTCTATATTGGATTAGAATATGGATTAACCAATAACTCAAAATTGGCTGAAAGATTCTTTGGCCAGGCTCTAAGCATTGCACCAGAAGATCCTTTTGTTATGCATGAAGTTGGCGTGGTTGCATTTCAAAATGGAGAGTAAGTACTGAAAGGCCAAAAGCTCTTCTGTTTCCTTTTTATTAGTATAAAAGAACCTCAGTCACTGGAGTTTAACTGCTCAGAGTGACACGCTTCATTAGATTTTTAAAAATCTATTCTTTAGGAGAAGGGGGTTTACAGTTAAAAAAAAAAAAAGTAGGAAGTGTTATCTTGGATTTCTTTAAAAAATGCTAAAACTCCTCCGGTTTGGTCCCCTTGATGTGGGCTGTTACAAGCTCCTCCGTTCTAAGATTGGACAGTTGTCGCTGTCAACTCACTCGAGCCCTGCTGAATGGTCTGGTCTGGACATTGCAGATTCCTCAGTAATCTATCTCCTTGTTGATTAGGAGTTGGAGTCATGCATTTGAGAAACATTTTCTATAATTTTGAAATGAAAATGTTTTCTGTTTAGCTTCCAGTTAATCCAAAAATTAAACTAATTAGTGTTTTCTGGTCAATTGAGGCATTAACTGTAGCCTTGATTATTTATAGAATAAGTAACTCAATGTCATTCTCAAAGAGAAAAATATCTATAGCCCTTTGCATTAAATTATACATGAATTTAAAACAGTAAATTAGTACTACTGTAATGGTTTGTTGTGGCATGTGTGTATTCTAAAAATTGGATTGTCTAGTATTTATAAAAGGAAGTTTGGAGATTTTAAAATAATGTATAATAATATTTTAATATACAGTCAACTCATTTCAACGCCAGAGTCAATGAAGGTGCTTTCACATTGTGTGCACATGTGCATGTTCCCAGCTAAGATCAAACAAATGTTTTGCCTTCTTATTTCCACTCTCCGACTGTAAACAAGTGTTCTTTTTTACATTCAATTTTGTGACATGTTTTTGTGCTTTTTGTTGGTAATTTCACTGTTTAAAATGGTCCCTAAGTGTAGTGCCAAAATCTGCCTAGTGTTCCTAAGCACAGGAAGGCTGTATTGTGAGTTGCAGACAATACATTAGTTAGATAAACTCTGTTAAGGCATAAGTTACAGTGCCTTCAGTTCAGTGTTAATGAAGCAACAACATATGTTCAATTAGGCATCACTAAACACAAGCATATATAAAACAGGTTATAGGTTGAACATTGGGTGGAAAATGTGAATAGAGGTTTGGGAACCTATGCCTTGTATTTCCACTGGGAGCAGCAGTTCTGACTGCACTAACGCAGTGTGCACAGTGACTAGAGAACACAGAGAATAATGAGAATTGACTATCACCTAGCATCTTGAACTCCAGTGATATCAATGCCATAAGTTAATCATCTATTATAATTACTATTACAAATAGTATTATATGTTGTAATGTACTTTTTATGGAGGTTTACCTCATTTCATTTTTATATTACTAAAAAGAGATTCAAATTTTTCTTACAATGTTTATTAAGTTTGCTAAGAGTCCATAAAGGAGATTTATGGACCATTAACTTTGAATAATCTATAATCTTTTTTCTTTCTATTTTAGATGGAAAACAGCAGAAAAATGGTTTCTTGATGCTTTGGAAAAAATTAAAGCAATTGGGAATGAGGTATTTTATGTCATATCTGTAAATAAACACATTCGTAAATATGTTTACTATTGAATGAGGAAAATAATATAGACAATCTGTCTTGTCTAGAAAAAAGTAACCTAATACTTACTATATAATAACCTAATATTTATCATAACAATTGTCAGGCAATAAACTGTTTTACTACATGGTACTAAGTGAATTTGTTTCTAATTGAGGCATTAACTGTAGCCTTGAGAGAGAGCAGGTGTTGGCTGTGTGCTCTAGTTTTGATATGTGGGAGTAATCACAATATATTTGATAATTACTTTATACAAGAAATGTGTGATGATTACTGGAACTGGTGGGTACTGCAGCATGTAACAAAATATGTCCTCTAGTACCCCAAAGGAGCCTCATCTTTGATTAATAGTTAAAGATAGCAGTTGATCCCACTGAAGTAGGGCTAGGTGTCATTCAAATTCAGACCTATTATGGTTTTTCCTTACCTTGTACTTAACATATATTTAGACTATTAACTATTTGAAAAATTTACTAGGTTCTGTTGTATGAAAGATGGACCCCATGAATTTGCATTCATTACTTAATCTTCCATCTTGCATGGATGTTTGTATACTATATTATTTTAAGATAATAACAGTTTTAGATATTGTAAACTTTTGTAGGTAAGGAATTTGCATGTTGCTACTCTCTGGTTCCTGGATCTTTTTCCTTGTACCTATTTGGTTTTATTCTCTTCTGTTTCCACCTGCCAGTTACATTCTGTTTCTGTTTGGGCATACTTGCCCACAGTCCACATCTTTGGTCATAATTTCTCCTTGGTGAGACAGATACAGCGCCCTTGGGACCGAATCCACAACCTGGGCATGTGCCCTGATCAGGAATCAAACTGGCGACCTCTTGGTGCATGGAATGATGCTCTAACAACTGAGCAACACCAGACAGAGAGATAAATAAATATATAAGTAAAATAATTATGTCCTCAGGAAGTCTCATTAATAGTAAAGAAGAAAGATGGAAAAAATAGCAAATACTTCTGCTTTGTGCTGTGCAAGCACCAGGAGAAAGTCCAACTCGCATAATGTGTGAAATAATGCAGCGCAAACAGGTCAGGCTGAAAAGTGACATCTGTAAGTCATGGGTTTGATGTTGCTGTGTTTCAGGTAACTGTTGACAAGTGGGAACCTTTGTTGAACAACTTGGGGCATGTCTGCAGAAAACTTAAGTAAGTGAAATTTTTTCAGAAATATTCTTGTGACTAAAAGTGCTCTTAATTTTGTGTAGCCTTTTCATATTTTTATTTTAGGAAATACTCCATCTTTCTTATACGTGGCTGCTCAAATATAACAAGTATCAAATAGTTGTTTTTGTTATCACTAATTTATAGTAATATATATTTTTTAGTAATTTTATAATCGTTAGCAATATATCAATAATTATTATCACTTATTTTCTTAGATTAAATAAATTCCAATGTTCAGAATTAATTTAGAATTAGGATAGTATAAAGCTATGTTTATATTCCAAGTCACTGTTTCCTACTTGATAACAGTTTTGTGGTGTGAGAAACAGATGGCAGTTGAAAAAAATAGATTCTTTGGTTAAATGAGTTTGGTAATCTCTAGGTTACTCAAAACTTCTTGGGAGTCTTTACTATGCATTATGAGCTGCAACATTTCCCAAACTTTATTGAGCACAAAAATTTTTTTCAGAAAAGATTTTACAGGGAAAGTATTCCAGAGAACTTTTGAAAATGCTCTTCCAAGTAACTCCTTTTGACCCTAAAGCAAACCTCTTGAGGTGTCTTTCCTCACCTCTGGTGGAGAAGGTTTGATTCACATAAAGAGGCCTTGCTGTGTAACAGGGCACAGGCCCAAGTGTCAAGGGTTATGTGCTGGCTCCAGTCTCCTAAGCATCCGGAGGAATGCAGTGGTACCCCTGCAGGAGTGCCCTCAGCTGGCTGAGCCAGCAGGCAGGAAAGTACGTGTCAAGGAGATGTTAATACACACAAAAGTGGATATGAAGTACTGTTATCAGTTAACAGTCTAGACTGTTATTCTGATGTAGGAAAGTGTTTCTTATGTTTTTAATAGGTATTCTCATTTTAGTAATTTAAAATTTAGTAAATTAAAATTTACTACTCTTACTGTACCCACTAATTGTTTTCTCTCTTTCTTCCCATTTTCCTTCCCTCCCGGACTCCCTCTCTCTTCCTCTCCCACAGAAAGTATGCTGAGGCATTGGATTATCACCGTCAGGCATTGGTGTTAATTCCGCAAAATGCTTCCACCTATTCTGCCATAGGGTATATCCACAGTCTGATGGGCAACTTTGAAAATGCTGTGGACTATTTCCATACCGTATGTCTGTTTGTACCTAATTTTAAATCTGGTTAACATTTACCACTTTAAAAAAAAAAAAAAAAGATCTTTTCTAGGCAATGTTTTGTTACTTTGCCATTTTAAAATTCTTTAGGTGACTTTGTATTTTATTCTTTGCAGAGAAAAGTATGTTGTGCAATATTTAAATTAGAAATAAATGTGAGACTTGTTTTATGTGTGCAGTGAGATATACCCTGTTTCCTCGAAAATAAGACAGTGTTTTATATTAATTTTTGCTCCCAAAGATGCGATAGGTCTTATTTTCAGGGGATATCTTATCTTTCCATGAAGAAGAATACAGTACACATTTATTGTTAAATGAAAATAAAGGAAATTTATTACCTGTATACGGTTCGGTAGTACGGTAGTTGTCAACACAAACCAGACAAACTGTGAATCCTACAGTATCAAGAATTTACTCATTTATTCAATGACAATCATGTCGTCATCTTCTGGAACATCATCATAACAATCCAATTCCTGAATTTCCTGGTGAATTTCTTGTGACTCCATTTCTTTCAGAATCAATGGACCAAATTTCTCATGTTTAGCCTAGGGCCTTATTTTCAGGGGGATGCCTTATATTTCACTCAGAAGAAAACTTGTAAGTTGGTCTTATTTTCGGAGGATGTCTTATTTTCGGGGAAACACGGTGGTAGTGCCCAGTGATGTCTGTCAGTCCATTCTGAGCTGGGCATTATTCTAGGCAGGAAGTTTGTGTTTCACAGTGAGAACCCTTTGGGAATTCTAGTGGGGTTTTTTAGTCCATTTATGACTTATAATTAATTTCCTTAGATCATGTGAACAAAACAATTTGCATTTATTACAAGGAAAGAATATCTCCTTAATCCATATATTGTGTTTCATGAACTCTCAGATACCATCAATAAGCAAGTTGACCACAAAAATAAAACAAACACTGTCACCTAAACGTTAACATAATTATTTCCTGTCAGCGGTTTTTTATTTTTATTTTTTTAAATATATGTCATTGATTTTTTACAGAGAGGAAGGGAGAGGGATAGAGAGCTAGAAACATCGATTAGCTGCCTCTTGCACACCCTTACTGGGGATGTGCCCGCAACCAAGGTACATGCCCTTGACCAGAATCGAACCTGGGACCTTTCAGTCTGCAGGCCAACGCTCTATCCACTGAGCCAAACCGGTTTCGGCATGTCACCTGTTTTTTACTTAAAACATGCTCTATTGGATATATTAGGATATAGATTTTTTTCAGGGATCACTCAAGTACCTACATAAAAAGAAAATGTAAGTGAAATAAATAGTTAAGATATTCAGTTCTTCACATTAAGAGTCTGGTTCTTCTAAATCACTTTTATAATGGGTGATGCCCCTGTTTTCCCAAAGTAGTGTCTTGGTGCCAGCACACCCAGATTCCTTCTCCAGGGATGGGGGACCTTTTTTCTGCCAAAGGCCATTTGAATATTTAAAACATCATTCCTGGGCCATATAGAACTATCAGCTTAAAAATTATCCTGCTGTATTTAGTCAAACATTTAATTAACACACCCCTAATGCTTTAGCAGGGCCAGATCATATTATTTTGCTGGCCTTATATGGCCTGCAGGCCAGATGTTTCCCACCTCTTTGGCCAGATGTTAGCCAAAGACATTGACTCTGCAAATTTTATGCTGCCACAAAGTGTCAACAGAAAGTTTTAGGCAACAGCTACAAATCATGTATCTTCTGTGTCTCCCCTCCCAAGGTTTGTGGTCTAGTGACATTAACTTGGCCACCAAGTCACAGGACACCCTCATCACAGCTGCGTCCAGGTGACAGCAGTGGTGAAAAACCACCAGTCACAGAGACTAGTGTAATGACCCTTCACGTACCCATCGCCCAACTTCCAACAGTCATTAACTCTTGGCAACTCTTGTTTTAGCTGTATCCCTACTAACAACCTCCCTCTACGAGATTCCCTGGAGTATATTGAAATCGATTTAGCAAGAATATTTTAAAATAAGAGAGAAGAAAATACTGTAATAACCATGTTGAATCTTTTCTGACAGGCCCTTGGTCTTAGGCGAGATGATACATTTTCTGTTACAATGCTTGGTCATTGCATTGAAATGTACATTGGTGATTCTGAAGCTTATATTGGTAAGATTACAATTATTATTATTGATGTCATATTCCATTTTATAGATTGTTATATATCTCTGTTTAGGTTTCTCAAAAATTTGTGTGAGATTCTAGATTTATTTTTCCCACCATTCTAACTACATTAATATTAAGAAACATCCTTTTTTTGTTGTTAGAACAATGCTGTGAGAATTAATGACTCATTAAATGTTCACTGAGTTTAAAGTTGGGTATTTGCTATATGCAAAATACTATTACAGAATATGTGCAGAGCACTGTGATATATAAGAATCTAATTGCACAATGGGAAAATCTTAAGAGACATTTTTTTAATAAAGGGCTCTGACCTTAATATTTTATAATGCAGGCTATAGCATATTTACGTTTTAGTAGAATATTAAGTTGGCTTACATTCACATTACAATGCTCATAATTCTTTAAATTATTTTTTAATGACAAGCAAGTTATAAATTTGGATGGAATTATTGTATTTGGACACTCATTTATTTATAAACATTGTAAGGTAAAGAGGGTGCAGTGAAGTTAAGTCTTGAGATGTGGATTTTGGAGTAGGCAAATATTTCTTTAACAGAACATAAAATCATAGAGGGAAAAACGTTATATTGAGCTTCAATACAATTAAGATCTATTAGTAAAAAAATGAATATTAAGAAAATGACAAGGTATGTGATATACTGAGAGAAGTTATTCGTAATACATAGACTTGTCAAAGAACTTGTGTCTAGAACAAAAAAATTCTACAAATCAGTAAGAAAATAATAAAAAATGAATTGAAAAACAAGCAAAATACTTGAACAGGAGCTTCACCAAAGAGAATATCCTTATATTAGGTCTAGTAATAAGTAATGTCGTTTTCTAATACTTTTTTAAATCGAATTTATTTAAACAATACAGCAAAATTTAATCAACAATATAGTTGCTGTTGTTTTCTACTACTTGTGCCCAATGCTCAGGAAGCATTTTAATCCCTCTGTTGTAAAATTCTTGTGATTTTGATGCAAAAAATTCGGTCAATGCATTTTTGAGGCATTCTTCATTATTAAATTTTTTTCCAAGAAGAAAGTTTTGCAACGAACGAAACAAATGGTAATCGGAAGGGGCAATATCAGGAGAATATGCAGGTTGAGGGAGAACTTCCCATTCCAACTGGCGCAGTTTTTCAGCAGTGATTCTTGCAGTATGCGGTCGTGCGTTATCGTGGTGAAGAATTACGCCCTTCCGATTAATCAGCGCGGGTTCTTTTTCTCTTAAAGGTTGGGCTAACCTTTCCAATTGGGCACTATACACTGCACTTGTAATGGTTTGGTTAGATGGCCAAAAGTTCATAATGAAGAATTCCTTTAAAATTCCACCAAACACACAACATCACTTTTTTCGCATGCAAGTCAGGTTTTGGCGTGGGCTACGGAGCCTCATTTTTGTCCAACCATTGAGGCCGCCTTTTCAAATTAACATACAACTCCCATTTTTCATCTCCGCTAACAATTTGCTCTAAAAACGGCGAACGATTTTGACGAGAGAGGAGCGAACTGCAAATTGTGACTCTTTGATTACGGTTGTTGTCGGTCAACTCATGAGGAACCCATTTTCCAAACTTTTGGACTTTGCCAAGTGCACGCAATTGATTGGAAATTGTTTTTTGTGAACAATTGAAAGTTGTCGCAAGCTCTTGTTGGGTAATTTGAGGATTTTGCACCAAAAGAGCTTGAAGAGCTTCTTGATCAAAATTGGACACACGGCCTCAACCACTCTTGTCATCTAACGAAAAATTTCCCTCGCAAAATTTCTCAAACCAACGCTGGCATTTTCTGGCGCTAACTGCATCTTGACCAAGAGCACTACAGATGTTTTTTGCAGCCTCACTTGCTTTTCTTCCTAATTGGAACTCGTAAAGCATGCAGTGCCGAATATGCTCTTCATCCGCCATCTTCTTAGCCCTAGTTTTGCAACAAAAACCAAACCAAACACAAACTTTTTCAAGCAAAACTTGTTAATTGCACTTCACACGTTCTGTAGATACCACGTGTTTGAAGGTTATGTCAATACAAGTCAACGCCAAGCAAGATTTTAAACGAATGTTTAAAAATGACATTAATTATTACTAGACCCGATAGTTATAAAGCAAATGAAGATGCTTAATATCTTACTAGGGAAATGAAATTAAAACCATAATGAGATAACACTGCCCATCTGCCAGAATGGCTAAAAGTTAGAAAAACTCGTAGTACCTAGTGTTTGTATAGTATAGATACGGTGCAACTGGAACTCTTTTTTTTTTTTTTTTAATATATTTTATTGATTTTTTACGGAGAGAAAGAGAGTTAGAAACATCAATGAGAAAGAGTCATCGATAGAGAGTTAGAAACATCAATGAGAGAGAGTCATCGATCAGCTGCCTCTTGCATATCCCCTACTGGGGATGTGCTCGCAACCAAGGTGCATGCCTTTGACCGGAATCGAACCCGGGACCTTTCAGTCTGAAGCCAATGCTCTATCCACTGAGCCAAACCGGTTTCGGCTACAACTGGAACTCTTATGTGTAATTTATTATTAGGAGGTTTATAAACAGATGAAACTGTTCAACATATCTACTAGTTAAATAGGCCTATTAGATATATCAGTTATCTGTTGTTGCTTAACAAATTACTCCAATAAAAATGTATTATTTTTCAAAGTTCTTTGGGTTGGTTGTTGGCTCTTCATGGTCTCATTCAGTTATGCATCTATGGTCAGCAGGCACTTGGCAGGGCTGATGATCTGAGATGGCTTCATACACAGGTGGGGACCTCTTCAGGGTCTTTTATCCCACGATTCTACATAGCATGGAGGTCTCAGGGTTCTAAAGGACAAGAGGTAAAATTCCTCCCTCTTCAAAGCCAGAAGTTATACAAAATCACTTCCATCACATTCTGTTCATCAAAAGGAATCATGTGATTAAGTGCAGCATCAACCTGGGAGGGGGTTGTTCAAGAGTGGCAAAGGTGTCAGGAAGGTGTGACTTATTAGGCCACTGCTGACTTTATGATGTAGTGTTCTATTCCCAAGTATATGCCCAACAGAAACAAGGGCCTCAGTAAGCCCAGGTTCACACACAAGATTGTTCTTAGCTTTATTCTTAATAGCATCTAACCGGAAATAACTGAATGTCTACCAATAGGAGAATGGAGAAATAAATTATGGTATACTCATACAAAAGAATGCTGCACAATTAAAATTAAAAGTACTAACTACTGAATCGTGTTATAATATAGATGAATCTCACAGATTTTGACTAAAAAAACCTGATTAATTTCATTTATATGAAGATTAGTAATAAGCAAAACTAATCAATGATGATGGAAACATCAGAACAGTGATTACTTTTGGCTTGAAAAGGGAAGTATTCACTGGAAGCAGCGTGAGGTGGTTTTCTTGGAGCGAGCAGTGTTCTGTTTGGTCTCATGGTGATTATGTGGGTTTATATATATATGAGTATTCATCCAGCTGTGCACACTTGGTGGTTTGTAGGTTATGGCTCAGTTTTTTAAAGTTAAAAAAGAAAGAAAAATAGCTTGATCTCTGGCATCCTGAAGAACCTAGGTTGAAATCTCAGCTTTGCCATTCAATAGCCCTGTGGCTTTGGGGCACATCTGAGCATGTTTCTTCGTTTAGCCAAGTTGTGAGGCTTCAATACAAAATTCCTATACAGCTAAGTGATGTCTGGAGATACAATACTGAGTAAGACATATTTTGCCTGTCTTCACAAAGGTAATGATTTTACAGAGGAGATTTCCAAGTCTACCATTCACGACACTTAGAAGTCTCCTCTATGATTTATGTCCTATACTACTTTTTATCTTACGGAGGTATAAGTGAAATGTAGCATATAAGTTTCAGCTATACAACATAATAATCCAATATTTGTATGTATTGCAAAATGAACACCACAATAAATCTAGTTAACATGACACTGTACATAGTTACATAATTTTTTTTTCTTATGCTGAAATTTTTAAGATCTACTCTCTTAGCAACTTTCAAATATGTGATACAATATTATTAACTACTAGAGGCCTGGTGCATGAAATCGTGCACTCGGCAGTGCAGGGAGTCCCTCAGCCCAGCCTGTGCCCTCTTGCTGTCCAGGAGCTCTCAGGGGATGTCTGAATGATGGCATAGGCCTGCTCCCCTGAAGGAGCCATCAGTCAGACATCCTTAGCGCTGCTGCGGATGTGGGAGAGGCTCCTGCCACCACTGCTGCACTCGCTGGCCGTGAACCTGGCTTCTGGCTGAGTAACACTCCCCTGTAGGAGCACACTGACCACCAGGGGGCACCTCCTGCATTGAGCGTCTGCCCCACTGGTGGTCAGGGCACATCATAGCAAGCAGTTGAGTGTCCTTAGCATATCATTAGCATATTACACTTTGATTGATTGAACGGATGACCAGACTCTTAGCATATTAGGCATTAATATTATATAGGATAATCACCGTGATATACAAAATAGTACAAAATAAAAATACATTTTTTGAAGGCTTATATGTCATTATCAAAATGCCTATTTAGTTTGTACTGTGTAAAATTGTCATGTTTTTATGTCAGAAATGATTGAACCTCATATATCTGTTGAAAGTCCTTTTTTCATTCTAAAGATTTTGAAATGTGGAAAATATATTTTCTTTCACTGTGGTTTTCATATGCGTAAGACTTGTGTCTATACCAATGCCAAAAACTCCAACAGGCAGTTCTTATTTATCAGCTGGGGGAAAATTGCCTACAGGTCTTTCATTATGTAAGTGGTTTTAGGTATAGGATTGCTATTGAGCCATGCTGGAGTTTGAAACTGCATGTACCTCTTGAAGTCTTCCCAGTTGTCTCTCATGATAATAAAAAAAGGAGGAAAATATTTTTTTCCTTCTGAACTTGACTTGTACTCTTAAAAGTAACATTTGACTAAAATGATAAAGGCTGTGTTAAGTAATAATGGAAATGACAGTGAAATAATGGAATTTCTTATTATGGTTTTCTTTTTAGGAGCAGACATTAAAGACAAATTAAAATGTTATGACTTCGATGTGCATACAATGAAGACACTAAAAAACATTATTTCACCTCCGTGGGATTTCAGGGAATTTGAAGTAGAAAAACAGACTACAGAAGAAACAGGGCTTACACCACTGGAAACCTCAAGGAAAACTCCAGATTCCAGACCTCCTTTGGAAGAAACTTTTGAAATTGAAATGAATGAAAGTGACATGATGCTAGAGACATCTATGTCAGACCACAGTACGTGATTCCCAATGGGTCCTGATTTTGTTTTGTCCTAGTGTGGAGTAGGTCAGTCAGTGTTCCTCACATCCGTGTCATGTCTTAAGAATTTCCCATTTCTTAACATGAATACAGACTATACGTCTACATTTAGGAACAGAGACCTGCCTTAAGAGACTGCATAGCACATGTATGCAGCAGATATTTTCTGATCCTACAGAACAGTTATACACAGTGGAATAAAAAAGGTAAAGCATCTACTATGTCTTTTTTTTTTTCTTTTTCAATAAACTTTTATTTTGGACTGATTTTCCATTTAAAGAAAAACTGCAGATAGTACAGAGAGCTATATACCCTTCACTAGTTTTCCATTGTTAACATCTTACATTACCATGAAACCTTTGTCATAACTAAGAAATATTTTTACGTTTTTACGTTTCTAGTAACTAAACTCCAGGCTTTCTTCGTATTTCACCAGTTTTTGCATTAATGTCCTCTTTCTGTGCCAGCATCCCATCCAGGGGCCACTCTATGCTGCTGCCCTGTCTCTAGCTCTTCTTAACTCAGTCAATATCTCAGACATCTGTTGTCTTTCCTGACGTGGAGAGTTTTGAGGAGGACTGGTCAGATATTTGTAGAATGCCCCTCAATTTTAGTTTGTTTCATGTATTTCTTATGATTGGACTGGGATTAATCAGTCTAGGCGTCCCTCACTGGGACCAGGGGGTTTAAGCTCTACCCCTTGGAAGGGTGTATATCTGCACATATTATTTGGAATTCTTCTGTAATGAAAATTTGTTTCTTCTCATTCAGTCATTTACCAGTATGGACTAATTTTAAGTGTATTTTATATTTTAGGTTATGATCCTATGTAGTATTTATTGTGTAGCTTTAATTATAATAATTCAGATTTGGTCATTGGGAGGTTTTTCAGGTTGGCTCCTGTGACATGTCTCATCCAAACCCACAACCTTGGCAAATCAGGATGAACTACCTGGCCAGGGCTAAACACCAAAACTTTTTATCTTAACCTAAATGCATCCCAAATATTTCTACCTTCTCAATGTAGAAATACAATGGCTAAGGTTGAAAAAATATCCTATATAATAAAGGTGAGGGCAGTTGGGGGTGATCAGGCCAGCAGGGGAGCAGTTAGGTGTCAATTGGACTGGCAGGGGAGTGGTTAGGGGGTGACCAGGTTTGCAGGCAGAAGTGGTTAGGGGCAATAAGGGAGGCAGGCAGGCGAACAGTTGGGATCCAGTAGTCTTGGATTGTGAGAGAGATGTCCAACTGCCAGGATTGGGTCTAAACCAGCAGTTGAACATCCCCTAGGTGTCCCAGATTGGAGAGGGCTCACAAATTTTATGCACCAGGCCTCTAGTCCTATCTAATAAAGAGGGAATGTGCTAATTGACTGTCCTATCCTCAAAGATGGCAACACCCACAGCCAAAAGATGGTGGTGAACAGTTTCCTGAGCCCCAGCCACCTAGAACTGACCTGAGGCACAGGCAAGCCTCAGATGGTGGCTGCCATGCTGCCAAGGGCCGCCCAAGGCTCAGGTAACCAGGGCCGCCGAGGCTTGCACTACTGGCAGTTGCAGCAGCAGGTGTGATGGGCTGTTGCCTTCCTCTGATCGCTGGGTCGCCTCCCACTCCTGAGAGTGGGCAGGCCAGGCTGAGGGACCCCCACTTCAGTGCATGAATTTTCATGCACCAGGCTTCTAGTCCTATATAATCCTATATAATAAAAAGCTAATATGCAAATTGACAGAACGCTGAACGACTGGTAATTATGACACACACTGACCACTAGGGGCCAGACTTTCAATGCTCTGTGGCAGCGCTAAGGATGACTGACGGTTTAGGCCCACTCCCCATGGGCTTCTGGACTGTGAGAGTGAGCAGCCTGGGCTGAGGAACCCCTTGAGCGCACAATTTTCAGGCACCAGGCCTCTAGTATATAATCTATAAGATAAAAAAATACTAGATCTCATTTTGTGAGGCCCCCCCACCAATAACTCTTTCTATAAATGCGGGATCTGAGCACTAATGAGACATCAGGCCCCATTCTCTGTCTCAGCTCATCACAGAGAATGACAGTTTAATGCAATGATGCACTTAGAGACCATAGCCTGCCCTCTATTTAGACTCAAATAGTGTGTTTTGAGGGTTTTGGGGGGTTTTTTTTGCATTAAATATATTTTTATTTATTTCAGAAAGGAAGGGAAGAAGAGAGAGAAACATCAGTGATCAGAGAAAATCATTGATTGGCTGTCTCCTGCATGCCCCATACTAGGATCAAGCCTGCAATCCAGGCATATGCCCTTGATGTGGGACTCTTCAGTTCATAGGCCGAGATTCTAACCACTGAGCCAAACCAGCTAGGGCTTGAGGTTTTGTTTTTTTAAATGGATTTTCTATCTCTGTTAGGTATCATATGTGCCTGCCTTTATGCCTCCCCTTCTCTTTAGTTGAGGTTAGAAATTCAAATGACTGAACTTAATATAATCATTTAAAAAATAAAAATGGAGGTACTTCTTAAACATTTAGTTTGCCCACTAGACCAAAATATTTCTTCATTTAGTTTCTTCATTGTTCATCTATGATTATTTTAGGTTTCTGGAAAAGCAAACTCCTGATGGTGAACCATTACCACATTGACTTTAAGATACAAAAGGTAAAAGTTTAAAGATATTTGACTAAGCTGCTTTTCAGATAGATCAGCAACAATTTAATACCAATATTTAGACTTAGGTGAATCAAAAAGGCAGTGTGTAATTGTACTACTAGGTATTTTTCTATTTCTACCCAATTCTCTAGTATCTCATAATGATGCATAGTTTCCTAAAAAAGCATCCTTATTGCCAACTTTAAAGTGACCAGTGTCATCTTCAAAGGGAAACGGGAGTGATATGGTCTCAACTGCCCTAAGCCACTATCATCCATCAATTCGACCTCTGCTCCCAGTAAAATATAGCCTTTCTTAGGACAGACATTTACTCCAGGACTACATTTAAGAGGGAGTATTCAATTAAGCCAGCGACTTTCAACCTTTTTCAAGTAATACACACAAACTAATTACTAATATTCTGTGGCACATCAAAAAATATATTATTTTGCTGATATGACAAAAAATAGGTATAATTTTGATTAATTTACAAAATAATAATAGTAATAGTATCTACACTTTTTGCTCCAAAGTTACTTTTTAAGAAATCAGGTGTCCTATCTAATAAAGAGGGAATACGCAAATTGACCATCACTCCGCTACAAAGATGGAGGTACCCATAGCCACAAGATAGCGGCCCCCAGTCCTCTCAGCCCCACCCAAGTCCCCCATTTCCTGGGTGAGGGGGCGTGGCCCCTGAGAGTGTGCAGCATGAGCTGCATGGTGGAATGCTTGCTTCATTGCCACAAAGACAAGGCAAGCTTTCTACCTTGGTTGCGGAGGGACTCTGAGCAGCAGGCCCAGAGCTGCTGGTTTAGGCCTGATCCCAAGGGATATCCCCTGAGGGGGCTCAGATTGGAGAGGATGCAAGCTGGGCTAAGGGACACCCCTTCCCCTGTTCACGAATTTCATGCACCAGGCCTCCAGTACTTGTATATAAGGATTTCTAATACCAAGAATGAACCAATCAGATCCAATCATATGGAGCGTAACCAGTAAGATGCAACTCTATTATATAACATATATTTATGTTCCATGATAGGGCCTTCACACTGGATGGCTATTTTTTTTTTCTGTTGTTATTTTTTTAATTATTATTATTTGACAATCTAAGGGAAAGAAGCTCAGTGCCCCTGACTAAATAGTCAGAAATTGCATGTTTTATAAATTCTTGCAACACACCTTTTGAAAATCACTGAGTTAAGCAAAAGCAAAGTTACTTATTGTATTCATGCTGGTATTTTGAGAAGATTTATTATTGGTTTTGGATATATTTATCTGCATATGTAAAATAGAATATTTAACAGGATGGGTAAATCTTTACATTTTTAAAAACTTTCTTCATATAAAATCATAACCTATTTTACCAGTGTATTTACTATATCTTCACATGTGTATATTTTATTTAAAGAATAATTTCAGCAGACAAACTGAATTCTAAAATCTGTCATTTTTGTTCATTTCTCAGAACTTTGTGATAATAGGCAATACAGAATTAGAGGCGTCTCTTAAAATTTAGAGTGGTATATGTTACTTTTGGGGAAAACATTTGGACATATTACCAGCTGGATTGTCAAGAAATACACATCCAAATGGACACAAAACACTAGGGAGGTGGGGTGTGAGGGCATGTTCCAGGGATAGGAGATGCTGGGAGAAGGCAATGGGGAGAAAAAGGAGACATATGTACTACTATTTGTAGTACTTTAAATAAAAAATTTAAAAAAAATACTCATCCAACAAACATGTGCCTTTAAGTGCCAGATACAGGCCTGAGGTGGACATACAGAGTTCAATGAAGACATTAGTTCCTGCTGCTTAAGTAAAGGCACAGTTATAGGTTATAGGGAGTGTCCTCTAAGTATTGAGGACAATGTAGTAATGAGGTAATGGAGGTTTGTTCAAGATTCTGGGGGATCTCAAATGAATCGACCTTGGCTGGGAAGGCATTTGGTTGGGCTGAGAGAGCTTCATAATAACTTAGCCATGGCTTCATAGTAGTAGAGGCAAAATATGGACAAGAAACACAAGGCATTGTTCATGATTGTGCGTATTGAGAAACTGAGGACGAGAGATCTTTTCTCCATTTGATAATTTTGGTGTTATTTGGCAGAGTAATAAAAAATTCCCTTGGAGCAAGAGTGCTTCGACAGTCCAAATATATGCTCTGTATTTAAAGACTGAAACATTCAAGTTTTTCAAACGAATGTTTTTTTACAGTTTTCACCGTCAGCCACCTCTGCCCTACCTCCCACTCACTATAAAAAGATTATGTCTGGCAACCATATTTTCCTTCTTTATATCACAGATAAGGCCATCAGAACTTCTGATCAGCATAATGAGGTTTTCTATACTGACTTTATGTGATATAAAAAAGGACACTGGATCTAATTTGTGCAACTTTTATCAATAGGTGTGTTTTTAACAGTATACCATTACACTTTATAATACATTGAAAATAGCTCATGGCCCCCTTTGTGAGGTTTTAGAGAACTCAGTTTTGGGACTGCTTTTTAAATCTCTAATACACACTGAGTGGCCAGATTATTATGATCTCTGAACACAATAATCTGGCCATTCAGTGTGTATCCTATATAATAAAAGGCTAATATACAAACTGTCCCCTCGACCAGGTGTTGGACCAGCAGGCAGGCCGGCCAACTGCCCATGTTCCCTCCCCCTGACCAGGCTGGCCAGACCCCATCCATGCACGAATTCATGTGCTGGGCCTCACACATATATACACACATACACACACACACACACACATACATATATACACACACACACACACATATATGTATACACACACACACACACACTGATGGCCAGATTATTACGTGTTCAGAGATCATAATAATATGGTCACTCAGTGTATTTCCACTGTGTTCACAGGTTTTAGTGGTTCAAGGAGCACTGGCTTGCAGTAAAACTGGATTCACTTCCAGTGTCAGCCAGTGGCTCCCTTGGTCTCTTAATGCCTCAGTTACTCTATTCTCCAATTTCCTTAATTGTACTTGAAATTCTTGGGAGAAAGGTACTATGAATTACAGTATAGCCAACACGTATAAAGAAAAAAAAAATGAGAAAACTATGAAAAAGCGTTGCATTTTAAAATGAAGAACTTCCATGTATAAATTTTACTAACCAAATGTTAATGCCTGTGTTTGTAAAATAAAAATATACAAATGTGAACCTGGCCTGGCTGCTGTTCTATTAATTGAGAGCTTCTCAAAAGTTGTGCAAAAACTACTTTTGAAAACCTTACGATTTGTTTTGTGAATGTCGTGGGTCTCAACTATTAGTTACTCCAATCTAGCCAGAACCACCAACCAGACAGGGGTCAACGTTGACACCTGAACTTAAGGCCAGCTAACATGAACTTTTTAGGCCAGCTAATTCCATGCTTTCTCGCCTCTGATGCCTTTATTTAATTCCGTATAGAAAAGCCACCGATTTGTGCTGTATGTCAATCGATTCACTTTTCTTACATAGAATTGCTGCTCTCTGGTGAAAAGTTCAGATTTCCTTAGAAAAGGAAAAAAAAAAAAGAAAGAAAGAAAAGCTGTCAATCGTTTATTTAGCACGTGTAGGTAACGTTTAGCCCAAAGGGCCGGCCGGCTCTTCTCCGTGGGAGACAAATGCAGTCCTGCCGAGGCAAAGGCCCTCTGGCCCTCAGTGTCCTGCGCCTGCAGACAAGCTGCGCCCGAGGCCCAGGCAGCAGGAGAGCGCGGGCAGTCGGACCTCTAACCCTCCTTCCCAGCTGCTCTGTGACCGAACACCTCGCCGCAAGGCCATTAACCCCCGAGTTGTCTGCAACCCTGGGTGAAGGGGCAGCTGCAGAGGTCTCGCTCGGGGAGCAGGGAAGCTGCTCAGAGCCGCAGGGACGGGAGGGGGCGGGCGGTGTCAGAAGCCGGGGGGCGGGGGTGCCGTGGAGGCGGCGGCGTTCCAGTTCTCGCGAAGTTTAGGCCCCGGCAGGAGGCGGGAGGCGGCGGTGGGCCCGCGGCCGTGCGGGATGCGCTCGGAGAAGGAGGGGCCCGGAGGCCCCAGCGTGGCCGTTGCTGCGCGGAGCCAGAGCGGAAGGGAGAGGCCGTCCGCCGCGGACGTCCACGTCCCCCGGGAGTCGCCTCGGCGAGAGGCGGGGGCGCCGCCGGCCTTGGCCTGCAGCTGTGCAGGCAGCGCAGGCAAACCTCGCGAGGAGAAGAGGACGGTCCTGAGCAAGGTGGGTGCGACCGGAAACGGGGCGGAGCGGGGCGGAAGGATGAGGGTCCTCCCCGAGCTGGAGGGGCGTGAATGGCGGTGCCGGCGAAGTCGGGAGGGAGCCTGCCGGGAGGGCGAGGGCTGGACGCCGGTGGGCGGAGTGGTGCCGGCCACCCGCGCTGGAGGAGGCGGAGAGTTTCAGCGAGATGGGGCGGGAGAGGATCGGGTGGTGCGAGCCAACGCCCTAGGAAGACTTAGGTCCTCAGCGAGGCGGAGGCGGGGTGAGGAGATGTGGGCCTACGTCGCGAGGGAGACCTCCCCGACCACAGAGGAGACCGGGCTGGGTGGGCCAATGGGAGAGTGGGCGAGGCCAAAGGGCAGGCGCTCGGGGCGGGGCCAAGGTGCATTCCTTGGGCTGGTGGGCGGGGCCGAGGGCGGAGCTGCTAGCGTGTCAGCACCACGGACAGCGGACAGGCTGCGCGTCCTGAGCCCCTGCTGCGGACAGGGAGTTTTCCGAGCACTTTTTATCATAAAATTTATTTATTTAGGCGAAACCGGTTTGGCTCAGTGGATAGAGCATCGGCCTACCTGCGGACTGAAAGGTCCCAGGTTTGATTCCGGTCAAGGGCATGTACCTTGGTTGGGGGCACGTCCCCAGTAGTGGGTGTGCAAGAGGCAGCTGATAGATGATTCTCATTGATGTTTCTAACTATCCCTCTTCCTCTCTGTAAAATATCAATAAAATATATATATATTTTAAAAATTTATTGATTATGGTATCAGATAATTGTGTTCATCCCCCCCATTCCCATCCCAAAACCCTCCCCACGTATGTCCCCCTCCCCCCCGCCCCTCGTCCATGACCACTGGTTAGGCTTAGTACTTTTCTGGTTTGGGGAGAAAGAAACGTATTTTCAGTCTCTGGAACTGGACGTGTCCTATTGGGGCTGAGACGCTGAGCTCAGCAGCTCCACAAAGTCGAGGGCCTGAAGGGACACAATAGGAGTGGGTGCGGCTCAGGGAAGGTCCCATCAGGTCCAGGGATGGATGCTGGGAAGAGAGCCTGGGAATGCCTGGTGGGTTAAGTGGTGGGAGAGGACCCACAGTGTGGACACTCTGTACTGAAGGTGAAAGGTGTCCAATGCAAATGGCATTCCTCTTGGCAGTAAGAGCAAATACACCATTGATTTGTTACTGCTGCTAACAAACATGCCAGCATGCATACATTCCCTGCATGGGTCTTACCTCCTTGTGTGGCTTACCCTGAAGAGAGAGTGTAGGAGGAGCTATTATTTTTTCAACTCCGGCATAGATATACCAATGGGTTGTCCAGTAGTAATAAAAGAACTGCTATGCACAGCCTTTTCCAACCTCAGGGACCCTTTGTCAGTTATTCATACGTCATTGCCCTTGAGACAGCCATGTTCTCATGTATGTTTTTCTTAACCTTTCCTAAAATATGTATTTCTGCTAGACTCCTGGATTAGATTTTCCTCTGAGCTTGAATACAGGCCACCAAGCATTGAAATAATTAAAGCAATTCAGTAAGAGAGAAACAAAACCCAGCCAGCTTCCTTTCCCCAGGTAGTCATCCGGCGCCTTCCTCCCAGCCTCACCAAGGAGCAGCTGGAAGAGCAGCTACATCCACTACCTGCACACGATTACTTTGAATTCTTTACTGGGGATCTCAGGTGAGAAGCCGTTTACCAACATTAAGAATCTGAGAGGCATTGTCTCTTTTTGGCAAATTATTGTAGGTAATAGAAGACATCTCATTTCCCTCTTCTTTCCCACATGTTCCCAGAAATCAGAGCAGTCCTTTATTCCTGCAAGTTATTTTAAGTAGGCAGATCACTAAAGGTCTCTAAAATAGATTTGAAATATGCCTCTACTGTAAGGTGACCAGACATCCCGCTTTTTGTCCAAAAATGGAGACTTTTTTAAAATGCTGCGGGACGCAGGACAAATTGTTGGAAATCGGGACGTCTGGTCACTTTACTGGCACCACCAGTCTAAGAAAAAAACAAAGCCAGACCATGTAACAACATATTACCTGATTTTTGTTTTTAAATATCTATAAACTATATTTTGCATAGTTTTTAAAAGTAAAATGTATTAAGGTATAACAAAGTAAATTGAATATATAGATGTATAACCTGATGAATTTCACAAGAGAACATACCCATGTAACTAACACCAGATAAAGAAACAGAAATTCCATACCTCAGTAATCCCACTCTGCTCCCTTCCATCACTAATACCCAGACTCTACCCCACTCCTCTCAGTTTATATCTTTTTCAGTTTCCTTTTACAACTTGGGAGATAGATGACTCTGACGACACATTTTATTTTTGAATCTCCCTTTTGTTAAAGAGAGTGCTGAGCTCAGGTTAGACCTTCAACAGGTGACAGTTCAGCTGAGATTTAGTGATTTTCACTATGTTTTTATTATTATCTTCATTATTATTATCCTTTTTATCTTCAGTATCATGAGTTCTCATTTATAGTAACCATAAAACTTTACTTTTGAATAAATACATTAAAATAAATAATGTTAGTCTATTCAACAAAAAAAAATCCCTCTACAAGGTACATATAAATGGGGTTTAAAAAAACAAAGATGATATCCAAATGACTAAAATTTAAGAAAATGTACAGTTGTAGGAAGGCTGACACTGGACCCCAACTGCTCAAATTGGAATCCCAGGCCCACCTTTTAACTGATGGCACCCTCTGAAAGTACCTAATTTCTCTGAGCCTCAGTGTACTCCTCAGTGATATCAGGTTGAGAGTAACTGTCCTGAAGGAAATTGGTAGTTGTGAGATAGCAGAGAAAAGTTTAGTTTTGTCAAGACCCTGTTTATTGTGCTATAGTAAATACTCTAACACAGGGGTCTGCAACCTTTAAGACATAAAGAGCCACTTGGACCCGTTTCCGAAGGAAAAAAAAACACCTGGGAGCCGCAAAACCATTGCGACATTTAAAACAAATATAACACTGCATATATTGTTTCTTACCTTAATGCTATATACTGGATCGTGCAGTTAGCTGTCAATCTGAAGAAAAAAAAAGGACTTTTTCACTTAACAATGTAAAATATATTTTTGCAAATTAATAGCTAATTAAAATATTTAATTTACCTGGTTAATGGGATTTTTGCTCCTGAACTTCAGTGCACAGTGTCAGTACATCAGGGCTGTAAAACGTTACCTTCATTTTCACACAGACTTGCAAGTTGTCGGAGCCACGGTAAAGCTTCAAAAGAGCCGCATGCGGCTCTAACACCTAAAAACGATCTCTTAAGTCAGTAAAGAATCTTTTTTACAATATAACATTTTGTTCTATGAAGGAATTATAACTAATTTGTATTGCAGCCATGATGCAGGATGAGGCATGACTTTGCTTTCTAACCCCTGAGAACCAGTATGTTAGCCCTGGCTCCATGCAATAGAGAAACTAACCTAGAGTCTTTCCCAAGTCATTAAAAAGGTATCAGTTAATGTTTTGTTTGATTGTGTGTTAAGTGTTTTTTGCTAAAGAATATCCAGATTGTTGTCATTTACTGAAGGATGAATCTTTGACAAAAAAGTTTTATCTGAAGTAGTTTTATTGTATTCAGACAAGGAAAACAAAGGCAAAATCAAAGAAGTCATATTTTTTTACTAACCATTTTCACTGTTGTTTCTTATTTCAGTCTTTATCCTCATCTCTACTCAAGAGCATACATTAATTTTAGGAATCCTGATGACATTCTTCTTTTTAGAGATCGGTTTGATGGCTATATCTTCATTGACAACAAAGGTTGGGTTATTGGCTTTTTAAACCTTTGTTACAATCTTTAAGTACATTCATTACATTATGCTGGAATATTTTTGAGTTTTAATAAAAAAGCTATCAGATACAAATCTAAAGTAAAGCAGAAATTTACATCATGTTATAGTGATTGTGTGCTTGTTAAAAATTAAAATGATGTATCAATGGAAAGAATTCTAACAGTTGTATAATAGTGATAACCTATTTAAGTATTATCAAAGAAGATTGAAGTTTTTCCATATAATTGCGCTTTCTGGATAAGTGAACTTTGCTTTTTATGTCTCCAAACTAAATTATTTTACCCATGTTGGATAAAATTTTCTAAAATATATTATTTATTTATATCAGTATCTTCCTAAACAAAATATTCTGGATGATGTCATTAGGGAGGGGATTGTAATACTGAGCATCAATTTTTGACCCTATTTAACAGGGTTGTCTGCTGAGACAATGTAATTTACCTCTACTTTTTTTTTTTTCTTTTTCCTCCTTTCCTGTCAGACTGTCAGCCGTTGTGTTCACTGCTATCATGTGTGTACACTTTTAAGAGCGTATTGTTTTCTATACACCCATCACCAACAGCCTCTTTCCATTTCACCCCACCCCCACTACTGACAGCGTTTCTTCCCTTCCATTGTGGGGAAGGGAGAAAAGCGGGTTAAAGAGTGACTAGATTGAAACCCAGACTTTTTTGCTATAAAAGGAAGTTTAATGCTTGACCTATTTGACATTTCTGTTGAATGCTCATTTATTCGGTAATTCATTCAAGTGCCTTTTTCTTTTTTTCTTTTTTTTTAAATTGTGGTAAAAATACCTCTATAATTTTTTTGATGGTGATGGGTGTATGGTATTTAAATGCATAGAAACAGAAATTAGAAGGGTTATTGCCAGAGCTCAGGGTGGGGGGAGAAATGGAGAAAGTTGAAATTTAATAAGTACAGAGTTTTTGCTTTGTAAGCTAAAAAGAATTCTGGAGATTGGTTGCACAACAATGTGAATATACTTTACACTAGTGAACTGCACACTTAAAAAAATAAGATGGTAAATTTATATTATGTGTATTTTACCACAATTTAAAAAAAATTTTTTTAAATTGTGGTAAAAATACCTCTAATAATACCTTCTATACCTCATAGAAGTGAAATCATACAGTATTTGTCTTTTTCTGAGTCGTTTGTTACACTTAGCATAATTTTTTCATGGTTCATGTTGTAGTGTGTGTCTTCCAGACAAATGAGAGAATTACAGTATCATAGTCACCTGGTCATTCCATATCCAGTCATTACTCAGTGGGTACAGTATGGAGGTAGAGGATACTATTTTTATTAAGCATCTAGCAGATTCTCCCAGGGAACATTTTTATGTGCCTCCTCCCAACCCCCAACCCATATCACAACAAAATGAATTTGTGGTGAATTTCAATCTAAACTTTTTTATTTGAAGCAAATTTTACTTGAATATTCTGTATACACTTTGAAGGCCCCTCTTTAGCCATGTGTCTATTCAAAAGCAAAGTACTTCTCTTGAATTCATATAGCAGATTAATAATTGAATTAAGCTTTTAAAATTAAAAATATTTAAATGTAATTAAGAAACTGATTTAAAGATATTACACTTTTTAGTGAGAAGAGAGACACTTATTGAGGTATAAGTAACATGGCAAAACTCACCATTTTAGGGTATATAGTGTGATGAATTTTAAATGTATTCAATCATGTAATCACCACTACAATAGGATAAATCATTTTTTTAAATAAACAATTGTTCTCCTTTACTTAAATGTGGAGTCTGACATGCTAAGGTTGCACTTGCTTAAAAGTATAATTAAACTATAGTTTAACAGTAACATTTTCATTGTTAAGTTCAATCCTTAAGAAAGCTAAATCATTCTTCTACAAAATGAATATAGAAGAATTTCCAAATGATTTTTGGAATTTATTTTTGGTTAAAGGGCTAGAATACCCTGCAGTGGTAGAATTTGCTCCATTCCAGAAGATAGCCAAAAAGAAGCTGAAGAAAAAGGATGCCAAAACCGGAAGCATTGACGACGGTGAGTCCTTTTTCAAAGGCTGGATTATGAAACTACCAAATTAAATACAATGATCAAATACAGTTTATCTCCTTTATATGGGGAGAAGTATATTTATTTTCTTTTTTCTCTTTAAATATACAGATCCAGAATATAAGAAGTTCTTAGAAACTTACTGTGTGGAGGAAGAGAAAACTAGTGCCAATCCCGAAACTCTTCTGGGAGACATAGAGGCAAAGACAAGAGAACTTATTGGTCTGTTTTGCTCATTTCCTCTCTTTACTGTATTAAGATTTGTATTTATAGAGTATACTAGAGCCCAAGTGCACGAATTCATACATGGGTAGGGTCCCTCTGGGTGGCCTGCAGGGATCGGGCGAAACCTGCAATCCAACGCCACCTGCAGCTCCTACCTGCTACTCCTGCTTATTCAGGCCCCACTGTGCCTGCTGCGGGCTCACACCCAATCAGCCCAATCGGGAGAGGCTTGCACTGCCACAGCAGCGCTGGCCAGCCATGAGTCCTGCATCTGGCGCCCTCCCAAAGGGAGTGGCCTGTGGGACCTGGCCAAAACCAACTCTCCAATATCCCCCGAGGGGTCCTGGATTGTGAGAGGGTGCACACGAGGCTGAGGGACCCTACCAGTGCACAATTGTGCAGGTGAGGGACCACGGGAGGGCTCCCGGGCATGTCTGGCCCCACCTCACCCAGTTCTGATCCAGGCCGATCAGGGTCTGCTGGCTGGGAGGTTGGCCAGCCGGGAAGGGACCATGAGAGGGCTCCAGGGCATATCCAGCCCACCTCGCTCAGTCCCAATGGGCCAGACCCCAGCAGCAAGCTAACTTACCAGTTGAAGCATCTGCCCCCTAGTGGTCAGTGCACTTCATAGCAAGTGGTTAAGCAGCCTTAGCATATAATTAGCATATTATGCTTTCATTGGTGGTTTGGTTGTTCTGCTGTTTGGTCTATTTGCATATTACCTTTTATTATATAGGATACTTATTCTTTTTTATGACTTTCATAAGAAATAGATTTGGCAGAAATGTAGAATATTTCCTACTTTTGACAAAGGGATTACAAGACAGCAACTTGGGAAAATATTCTGAGTATCTGTGGATGGGATAGCTTGAGCTTTCAGTTACATTATACTCGTCTTGTTTCAGAGTTGTGATGAATGAACAGTTGAAAAGACATTTGAATGCTCTGCGTCTGGCTGTATTCGGGAAAGAGCATTATATCTCAAGGTTGGAGTCAGTATCTTTTTAAAGACCAGCCACTGAAATGAGATGCGTGGCTTAAATATGAGATCGTCTTGCTGCTGTTCAAAAACATACCAGGCCTCCTGAGCAAGCAACAAGTTGATAAACATAGCCAGAGCACATAATCAGTTTGAATCAGCCCTATAGCTGCAAATGGTGTGTCTTAGAAATAAATGGTTACCTCCTACTAGCAGTCTCTAAAAACTTGAGTAGACATAAAATACCTTTTCATAATTAAGTTTCCTTAAGTATTTTAAATATTATATTGAAAACAAGTATTTAAAATAGTCAAGATGCCCTAGCCCATTTGACTCAGTGGATAGAGCATCAGCCTGTGGACCGAAGGGTCCTAGGTTAGATTCCAGTCAAGGACACATGCCTGGGTTGTGGGCTCCAGCCCCTGTATGTGGCATGCAGGAGGCAGCAATCAATGATTCTCTCTCATCATTGATCTTTATATCTCTCTCTCCCTCTTCCTTTCTTTCTGAAGATCAATAAAAATATATTTTTAAAAAATTATTAAAACAAAGGAAAGAAATCTTATTTTTTTAGTTAAATACTTTATTACAATTTTTTTGTTCTAGCTAGAAGAACCACACCTCTTCTTGAATACATTAAAAATAGAAAATTAGAAAAGCAGGTACGTCTGGCCTTTTGTGCATATGCTTTATGTTTCTACCACATCCATGCAGACAGTTTATGCACAGACTCTCCCACCTCTTTAGAGGATTCGAGAAGAGAAGCGAGAAGAGCGCAGGCGAAGGGAATTGGAAAAGAAACGCATACGGGAAGAGGAAAAAAGAAAGAAAAGAGAAGAAGAAAAATGTAAGAGAAAAGAAACAGACAAACAAAAGAAAGCTGCTGAGAAAGAAGTAAGGATTAAGGTAATTTGGAGACCTTTCATATCTTTTTTCCCAAAAATAGTTCTGCTATCCTAATCATGCCTTTTAAGTATTTTAGCTGGATTTCTTTAATAGTATTTCTCAAACTGTGTTCCCCGAGTCCTTGGGGTTCCTTGGGCATGCTGTGTTTGGAAGGATTGAGTGGGTGGGAAGGTGGAAGAGGACAAGCCTCCTGAGTGCGAATGGAGCACTTCACTCAGAGGAGCCCTGCATTAAGTACCATAGATTGGGCTCCTGCTTACATTTTACTTTAATGAAAATATGTCCTGACTAAAAAATACACATCTGAAAACCAGTGGCTCAATGTATATTAGCCCTGCCTTATGAAGGCTGACTCATAGAACTGAATTTTCATAGAAATGGTTTCTGCCAATTTCCCTTTGCCTGATGTATTCATTTAGAAGGGTTGTTTCATGCACAGAGGGAACTTTTTGCTATGTAAAATATGTTTCCCCAAATTAGAGTCAGCCCATACCTTCTTAGTGTTCTGCTCATTTGACCTTATTAAACTTGGGTTTCAACCTAAAGTGTTTCTTAACTCACTCCATGAAGGGGATAAGGTGCCTTATAGGGATTCATTAAAATTGTGCAATAGACTGAAAAAATCATCAAATGTCAGTGCTTGCAGGACCTTTATCTTTGTTTGTATTCAAACATTTGGGCTCAATATTGGTATATAGTTTTAATTATTAATATACTCTTAAAGTGGCGTTTTACTAACATTATAATTTCTCAGCTTCTTAAGAAACTGGAAAAGGGAGAGGAAGCAGCCACTGAGAAACCAAAAGAACCTGGAGAGGAGACTGAAAGTGGAGAGGGACCGTGGGCAGCCAGTCCGGGCTGCGCCGTGGGGAAGGCCAAGCCCCGGGAGAGCCTGCCGGAGGAGCGCAGGGAAGAGTGAGCTGCTTCTGTTTCTTTGGCCACGATCAGCATCACAGGATGGTCGTCAGTCATGGTCACACATCCTTTGCAGTGCGAGTGCTCATATTTCATGGCATTCTTGGAATTCCTGAATGCTTGTCCACATTTTTGTTTCTTTTTTGGTCATGCTAGGAACTTGGTAAACCTGTTTGGTCTGCAGCCTCAAACCTATCTTTGAGTCAGAGAAATGTCCTTCTGTATTTCCTTTGGGTTTCTCTTGTTGCACATTAAGTCTTCAGGATCTTCTTCCCAGTCTCTTTTCCTTGTGATTTTTAAAAAATATATATTTATTTATTGTTTACAGGGAGGAAGGGTAAGGGACAGAGAGTTAGATACATCAATCAGCTGCCTCCTGCACACCCCCCACTCGGGATGTGCCCACAACCAAGGTACAGGACCAGAATTGAACATGCGACCCTTCAGTCCATAGGCCGAAGCTCTATCCACTGAGCCAAACCAGTCAGGGCTTCCTTGTGATTTCTATCAGTTTGTAATGTTCCTTTGTCTTCTGAGATATGCCCATTTGGTCTTCCAGACTTCCTTCAATTTGTCTTTGGAATCAGGAATTTGGGAATTTGGTCCGTCAGGTGCTGAAAGTCTTCTTATCCTGAAAAGATAGAATTCTGAGTGCTGCAGTTCCTTTGTGGGAGTGGTCAGCCCTCTGGCCATGGACTTTGTCACACAGCTGTAGATCCTGGTGTTGTGACCCATAGCTCTTTACCTGCTCGTGACATGAGCTCACGAAAGGACCTGGGCTTCTCTGGAAACAAAACAGACATAGCAGTCCGCGCAGAGCCTCCTGGAGGCAAGGGCTGTTCCGCTCACAGGAGAGGCTGGGAGTGGATTCAGGTGCAGAGAGCAAAGCCATGGGATTAGACTGCTGTTAGCCCAGGATCACAGTAATCTGAATGATTTATGACTGCCTTCCTTGAATATAGAGTTATATAAAGCTTCTCTCCCTCTTTTTGGTGGGTTCTAGTTTATTTGTATATAAAATTAATTTATACATGATGTCAAATCTGATCGGTTAAAATTGTGGTTTATGTTACAGACATTTGTATTGTTATTGTCTAGGACAGCGGTCACCAACTGGTGGTCCACAGACCACTGGTGGTCCGTGAGGTCCGAAAAGTTGGTGACAGCTGACTTAGGACACAGCACTGCCTTTTGTCATGTTTCTGGCACCAGTTCACGCTTTGCTTATAGATCTTTTTGTCCCCACCAGTCCTGCCGCTTCTGTATGTGGGGGGTCCACAGGTGGTATGTAAGGCCATTTGCCAGTTGGTGGAGGGAAAGACTTTAAGAACCAAATGAGCTAATCAGCCACTTGTTTACTTACTATTCATTTAATAGTTTGACACATATACAAATGTTATTAAATTTCAGGTAGTTTTAGCTATGGTTGAAGCAGAAACTAAGCTGTTACTATCAGTTCTGCCTCGTGATGGATGTGCATTTGGGATCCTGGGAGTCACCTGACCACATGTAGTCTCATTTAATTTATCTGCAATGAGGGGGGGATATATTTATTTTGGAAGTGTACTGAGAATTTTTAAAATATGTCTATTTGGGTACCTTACCATTAGCACTTAATACATATGTGTTACTCAAGTATAACAGGAAATATTATTAATACAATTTATTCATATTTTTTGAAAATATATTTTATTGATTTTTTTACAGAGAGGAAGGGAGAGGTATAGAGAGTTAGAAACATCAATGAGAGAGAAACACCGATCAGCTGCCTCCTGCACACCTCCCACTGGGGATGTGCCCACAACCAAGGTACATGCCCTTAACCGGAATCAAACCTGGGACTTTTCAGTCCGCAGGCTGATGCTCTGTCCACTGAGCCAAACCGGTTTCGGCAATTTATTCATATTTTTTATAGTTGTTATTGAATGCCTACGGTGTGTGCATACAAATTTGAAATTAAGTGATGGGCAGACTTACATGTTCCTTGCCTTTTCTGGAACTTATAGTCTGGAAGGGAAGGCAGGTCATCAACAAGCAGTTTATGTAAGGCTACTGATCATTTGTATTAAACCACAGGTCACAGAATGACAGTGATAAAGAGCAAAAGGATATGGAGAGAAAATTTCGAGAAAAAGATCTTGAAGCACAAAGATACCACTTGGATGACAGCAGAAAGCTCAGAGCTCACTATGAGTTTGACAAGTTTTCAAGAAGAAATGAGGAAGAGATGAAACTGGGGAAAGGATTCACCCCCGACAGGGGGAAGACGGAGAGCCAGGACCGCGGAGGCCCTGTGGAAGCAGCAGAGAGACCAGGGAGAGAACTGAACAGCGAGGACAGCCCAGCACCCAGGAAGGAGAGAGTGCGGAACAAGGTTCTTTTCTTCATTTGGGATCATCCCTCCTTGGTTTCCTGAGGAGCAGTTGTTCCCCCTGGGAGTACAGGTCCCAGCCTTCAGAATCGCACTGCTCTTCCCTCATCCCACTGTCCTCATGCCTGGAAGCTACTTAATTCACTTTGTGTACTTTATTCAGTCTTTGTTTTTATCCCACCACCTCTAAGAGTTTAATAAGATGATGGGTATTTTCTATGAAGGGGACAGTTCAGAAATAATCCACATGAATGTTAATAACTGTTTCGTTTAGCACTCTTAAGAGCCATCCGAGGGGCCGTGACTCATTTTGTTTCAGACTTAGGTTTGCTGCTGGGCAACTGTGTGGGACTGAGATATGTGTGTTTGACTCGTCATCCCTCAAACTGGCTTGAGAGTGCCATGGTGTATTATTTCCACAGAGTGTTGTAGGTTTGAGCAGAAACATAGTAACTGTATTTTCATGGCTTTTTATTGCCTTGAAATGCTTGTTTCTGAGATAGTGCTGATTTTTAGCTGTAAGACTGACAGTCTTTAGATATTTAAGATGTTCAGTCCCTGGAAATAGTGATGTTGTTCCCTCCTCATTGCCAGCCCTTGGAAGAGTAACCCACTCTTTTGTCCTGGCAGGACCGGCCGGCCTTGCCACTGTACCAGCCCGGAGTTCGCATGAGAGCGCGCGAATGTGGAGGAAGATTTTCGGAGGAGGGCCGAGATGGCAGGAGGGCTGAGGCAGAAGATTCAGCAGGGGCTGGTTCCAAGAAGAGCAAAGAGGCAGACTGAGTCAGCGTGCATGCCACGGTTGTGACAAGGGTGAGCTTGCATTCCAAATTCCATGGATTAGAAATGTGTACAAGAGTCTGCAACATAACCTGCAAGGTGAATCTGCTCCTTTCAAAGAAACTAGAAACTGGTGGCATAGAAACAATCTTTTAAAAAATTGAACAGAGTTTTCTTTGATTTTGCCATTCCTAGTATAAACTTCTGTGTATCATTTAGCCACAATAGAGAAAACAGTCTCTTTGGGAAAGTAGAAAAGTATGACCAAAACAACATGAACTCTGAAGCACTTTAAACATGTGGTAGGAATAACTTACACTTTGCATTTTATACATTTGTAAGCAAATAATCTGTTGGGATTTGTATCTCACTATGTTTCTTGTGAGGCCTTGTTTCTGGGAAGTGAGCAGCTGTCATTCCATTGTAATCCTGGTAATTCAGCCATGTGTGCGCCTTCTGTCCTAAGATTCCAGGAAGTCTGTTGTACTGTCGTCCCTTGGATAGGAACATAACACTATAAAGCCCCACAGCTTTCATTATGGCCCTTTTAACAATTTGGCCACTGTCTTGAACAATGTAGTTTGACATTCTTTTGATGGATGTGCCTGTGGTTATAACCATTATAGTTTAAGAATTGCTAACATAAATGGCGTTATTTTGGGACATGGATAATTTAGGTAAAGCATCTAGGTTTTTTATTTTTTGCAGCCTGAGGTAATTTTAAAGTGACTTTATGTAGCTTTCTGAAGTATGCATTCTATAGTATCTTTTCCTATTAGTGAAATTTTAAAATGTCTGGGTATTTTTTAGTGCTGTGTTTTGAACCTAAATAAAAATTTTAGTAGCTATAGATTTCAAGTCCAGCTATTGTACTTTTCCTACCTAGAATTTTACACAATAAAACGTTGCTTTTTAAAATGTACTTTAACTATATGAATATTTTGTTGTTATATTTATTCCTTATTAAGTAGGAAATGTTTGTCAAAAAACTTAAGAATGACTCATTTATCATTAAAAACATCCTTAGCTGCTGGACACAGTTCTGTGCCATTGCTATGTTCTTGTTCATTACCTATGAGCTTCAAGAACTTGGTGGGGGAGGGGAGAGAAGGGCTTGCTGTGGATTCAGTGATCAGAGGAGCCAACCCTGGCTGAGAGGGCTGGGCAGTCACATTTTACAATTTGCAAGCCATATGGTCTCTGTCACGTCTACTAAACTGCTCTTGTGGTGAGAAAGCAGCCAATACATAAATGAATCCAATAAAACTTTATTTATAAAAACAGGTAGCAGGCCATCTATAACCTGTGGACCATCGTTTGCTGACCCCTGCTTAGAGGATGCATTAGACTGAATCTCCTGAGCAGTGATCCTTGCTGCTCATTTTGGCTTTGATCTGGAGATTTCCAGGCCTGAGAGATCAGGACATAGTAAATCTTATTTCTAAGGTCCCCATCTTGGTTCTATTGGCTTGTTTGTATTTTAGTGATCAAAGACATGGAGATCTTTAGAGCTCATTTTCAAAACTTGTGGTTTAGAACAATGGTTTCATATATCTTGGTCTTAGGACTTACTTACATTTTTCAAAATTATTGGCAACCCCAGAACTTTTGTTTATCAACTAGATTACATCTATTGATGTTTACTGTATTCAGAATTAAAACAGAAATATTAAAGCACAAAATACATAAACACATGTTCTATTTACTATCATAGTAATAGCATCACCACGTATTATGTAGCCTCTGGAAAACTCCACAGTACACTCAGGAGAGGATCGGCGTGAAAAGGAGAATAATACCTTAGTCTTAAAAAAAAAGTAATTATACTAAGCCCAGCCAGTGTGGCTCATTGTTTGAGCACCAACTTATGAACCAGGAGGTCATGGTTCAATTCTAGGTCAGGGCATATGCCTAGGTTGCGGACTCAATCCCCAGCAGGGGGCGTGCGGGAGGCAGCCGATCAATGATCCTCATCATTGATGTTTCTATCCCTCTCCCTTCCTCTCTGAAATCAGTAAAAATAAAGTAAAAAAAAAAAAAAAAGTTACACCAAGAGAGAACCAAGTAGGTAAGTCTGAAATTCACTCTCACCATAAACCCCAATCCTGGCAAGATACCATACAACCAGAAGGAAATCCCCAATTACCAGCTTGTCTTTGAGGAGAACCTAGGGTTCCCATATCTAGCATCTACTTTTAAGGCTCTCACTTGACGGATGGGCCCCCAAAGCACCTACTCTGTAGGTCAGGGGGCTTGCATCCATGAGACCCACAGGCCTATATGAAAAAAAGCAGCAGTTCTTAATAAGTACATGGGTACTTGCCGTTGCTGTCACCCAGGGCTCAGCACAGAGGAACAAACATGTCCATCTCCCAGAATTCTCCTGGAAGAGCTTGGAGTACAAACTGCTGCCCTAAGGGGCTTGCTTCTCATTAGCACACATCCAAGTACTGACTGCCATCCTCCCTGGAGCTGGGGGCAGCTAGTGGGTCCTATCCCCACCTTCTCTCTCCAGCTCACTCCAATGATAAAACCAAGTTGCCAGATCAGATTAACCTATAAATCCTCTTAGATCGCTCTAGATTTTATAAAGTGTAACCATGTCCCATAATTTGTTGAGTTTAACAGAAAGGCTGAAACTTAAATAGTTAAACTTCCATACTGTGCTCCTCTCTGACACTGATGATTGCAAGAGCTGTTTTTCAGGAACAAACCCAGAATATTTTGCAGGACCAGGGGGTTAATCTGGTTGAATCTGCTCCAAGCTGGCAGAAGCTACTTGGAGGACCACCCTCTAGTGACCTCCTCATGAATTTTTCTCATATATATATATATATATATATATATATATATATATGCCTAATATACTAAATGTCTGACCGTTCGATTGACTGCTTGACCAGTCGCTATGATGCGCACTGACCACAAGGGGTAGATGCTCTGACCAGTAGGTTAGCTTGCTGCTGGGTCTGGCCTATTGAGATTGGGCGAGAGGGCCAGACATGCCCTGGAGCCAACCTCCCATGGCCTCTCCTCGGCCTCTAAAATACTTCTAATTCATTTCCTTTCAATGTACACGAATTCGTGCACTGGACCTCTAGTTATAATATAAAAATCTCTTCCAAGAAGCAGAGATTTTTTAATATCATTGTATGTATGTTTTCTAACTGTACATGCGCAGGAATGTCCCTACCTATACATGCCATGACAAAATTCACAATGTTTATGCATGATACCCCTGAATAAAGACAAATCCAATCCTTTGTTCAGGACACACTACTTTGGGACTGATCTTTAGTGTGACCTTGCTTGCTGGCTTGAAATAGTTTCTTCGCATAAAATCATCTCAGAATGGCCTTTTGGCGGCAGCTACTGAGTAACTGGACCAGGTTTGGTCTGGTAACAGGATCCTCCCTTTGTAACACTGGCAGATCTTGGTACACACTCAACTATTGGGAACCTCTAAGAACAAAGATGGTGGCTTGGACAATCATAAAGGTTTGAGAGACAACCAGCTATTTGGGCTGAGCTAACTGACAAGGTTTATTTACAAGAGACAAATTTCTCAAGACTGAAGAGATGGTTGTTTTATCTAATTCACAGAAACCAACACAGAGTCAAGGAAAATGAAGAAATAAGGAACTATTTTCCAAACAAAGACAAGATAAATTTCCAGAAACAGATCTTAATGGATTGGAAATAAGTGATTTACCCAACAAAGAGCTCAAAATAACTCTCATAAAGATGGTCACTGAGCTCTGGCTGGCAGGGTTCAATGGTTAGAGCATCGGCCTGAGCACTGAAGGGTCTTGGGTTCAATTTCCAGTCAAGGGCATAAACTTGAGTCACAGGCTCTTTCTCCACCCTATCAGAGCACATGTGGAAGGCAATCAATCCATGTTTCTCTCTCTTCCCCCTCCACTCTCTGAAAATCAATGGAAAAAATGTCCTCTAGTGAGAATTAACAAAATAAAAAAGATGGTCACTGAGATCAGGAGAGCAATGCATGAACAAAGTAAGAATTCTAACAGATTGAAAATATTAAAAAGTACCAAACAAAAACGGATTAACAATACAATAAACTGGCCGGGACCGGTTTGGCTCAGTGGATAGAGCGTCGGTCTGTGGACTGAAGGGTCCCGGGTTCGATTCCAGTCAAGGGCATGTACATTGGTTGCAGGCGCATCCCCGGTTTGGGGTGTGCAAGAGGCAGCTGGTCGATGTTTCTCTCGCATTGATGTTTCTAGCTATCTCTCTCCCTTTCTCTCTGTAAAAAAACAATAAAATATATTTTTAAAAAAATACAATAAACTGAAAAATTCAACAGGGGGCAATAGCAAGCTAACTTAAGTGGAAAGATGGATCAGCAAACTCAAGGGTATGGCAATAGAATTCATCCAATCAGAGAAGCAAGAAGGAAAAAGAATGAAAAGAGTAAGGATGTGTTAACATAAAAACGTTCAAACCTGTAAAGAATTTTTGTGAGTCTATTTGAGCCAATCTGTCGACAACTGCTGGGAAACAGAACATCAATGAATTGAAATAATGCTCTGGAGAATGGCGGGTTACATCTGTATTTATATATTGCGACTAAAGGAGGGACAAAAGTGGGTTAAATGAAATCCATTGGTGATAGACTAGAGAGGCAGGAGAAACTCCTGGGATTGGATAAAAGGTAAAATGATAGATACATACTTGAGTGCAGGAACAATTAACATGATAACAATGAAGGAATTTGTGGTGTCTGTCCTGGCGCCCAGGCACATTATGTTGTGTACCCAGGGGTCCAAAAAAAGGAAAGTTAGAAGTTACTGAGACATTTCAAGGGTATGTTATTATAGATGCAAAAAGAAAAAGAGGCTCAGTTAAGGTAAAGGTTGGGCTTGTCAGTGAAGATACCAGCCTAGGACTGAACTACTCACCATAACTGTTTTAGTTAAAGTTTAATTTCAGACCATCCTTTGTGGTTACTTTAGGTCTCCAAGTTTGCAAGACTGCCATGC